CCAACTGCAAGAGCACTCAGACGGTCTTGTCTTTTCCAGGAGCAAAACGTTTTGTTTCTGAAAAAGTTTTGCTTTTTATATTGCCAGGTTTCTGTTCCATTTGATATAATAGCTTTGAACGTATAATAACATACGCGTACTAAAATTTATTAATTGTAATTTGATGCGCATTAAAGTCAGTTGTTTTATAATTTGTGTTTTCTTTACTTGTATAATACATGCATATATGTGTGAGTATACAAATACATATCTCTTACATTAACATCTACTCAATCATCTGCCTGGAAAAACATTAGCCCATTTTCACTTGGCAAACATAGCCATCTTCACCATCTGACTGAATCCAATTTTGTACTGGAACAGTAGAGTAATCCTTAATATTCCGAAAGAGACACTAAATCGTTATATACATATATAAAAACACTTTGCTTCCGTAAAACTAAATGTACACTCAAAGAAAGCACTTCGCAAAGCACAACAGTAGATTGTAAACAAACGTCAGTTTCATGAGGGCGGAGTTAATGGTAATCCTCATCTGGACTGCCAATTAGCCAAATTAAAGCCGTTGTCCTAGCAGTGTACGTTTTGCTTATATGCGCTCGGGCTCTTCGATGCGGCAGCCCACTTCTAGCATCTCTGCACCAACGCCGAAAGATGTTGTAAGTGTGGATAATCGCATATGAGAAGCCTTGCCCGCTGAAGGAAGATGAGAAGCCGACATGCATTTTTTTGCAAGCAATCGCATGTAAGTTCCTATAGAGGATGTGAGGCATACAAAAAACGCTTCGAGAGGAAGAAGACCGTGCAAAAAGCGAAGGAACCTGAACTCACAGCAGCAGACTTTCCAAACCTCACTCAAAATCAAAAAACTGCCGGAAAGAAAGTGCCGAGCTACAGCTAAAGTAAAAAGGCTAAAGCCCTCACCAGATGAGATAACGGAAGCTGTGTCATGACTGCAGGACGAGAAAATTAGAAATTTCTTAAGTACGATTGTCGGAAGAATTCAGAAAATTAGAACAGCAAGAAATACTGCAGAGAAGTTTGCAGCTGGTTTTCAGGCAGCGCTCCAACTGATGAAATTCGCTGAATCTGAAGATTAAACCGCTAACTTGACCGAAATACTAGATAATTCATCGCACTTTGAACTCAGAACTATTTCGCCATCCTCAATTCAGAAATCCTTCGTATGTGACTTGCACTTGACTTTTGCCACCGACGGATAACCTGAGGCAGATCGCATAACTATGGACTGTGTTTTTTGCCCTCGGGCGTAGTGTTCTTACACCTTAAATTAATCTAACTACCGCGAATGACCTTAATCGGCATACCTCGATCGAACTGATAAAAATTCTTAGAAATTGACACCAGCAGTGAAGCAGAGGTTTAGGTTTAGGTGCGGCAGTCAGAGTTATTAAGCAATTTCCCGTCTGGGCGGCCCATTCTCCTTCATGCAGGTATAGTAAAAGGTACCGCTGTAAAATTTAAATAAACAATTATATATTGTTCAGGAGCGATTTAATATTTTCTGCCTTCATTCATATAGGAAAGTTGTTTGGGTCGATGAACAGCCTTCAGGAACGAATTAAATTATTGAAACGACGTACTAATTTAATCTGAATATTATTGATGTTTAGATCTTGTGTTCTAATTTCGAATGTGTACTGAATTTTAATGATGCTTTGGTTAAAAAATATGCTGAAGAGTTTCGTACAGGAAATCATAGTTCTGCTTTTCATTATTCTAGAAGTAATTCAAAGGAATTTCTTCAAATATATGCCCCACTTTTCTGTAATAATATATTATAAAGCTTCACCTATAAAATGCATAATCTTTCTAGAATCTATAGTTTTCTGTAGTTCTACCTGACCAAGTATATAAAAACATTTCTTCAGTTAAAAAAAATATATATAGAACTTGTTAAGATTTATGTATGTATGTTTAAGTCAGGGCTAAGTTGACTTCAAACCCATTTCCTTTAAGGCTATGTTTTTGGAAATAACAGCAATGATATATCGTAAACTAATGGAGCCTTATTTTTTAAAATTAAGACTTGTTTGATTTATGATTAAATTCTCTACAGAACTAGAACAAAATCTTTTCATTATGAATTATTACGGGCGGAAAAATTGAAAAAAGTTGTAAAATTCTTTTCTTGTTCTTCAAGACACGATTTTTCGCGAAGTTTTATTCGGAAGATAAGAGTTTAGATGGATCACATGACTATGGAAAGAAAACTAGGGCTGTACGGGCCAAAAAATTATGGATGCTTTCATTGAGGACTTTTTTAAATTTATCTCTAACCATAGTGCCTATACTTTCGGATTACAAAAATACTTTATTTTCCCATTTGAACGCTGTAATTGTGGTCTTTATTGCTTATCGAGACTCAGAAATGAAGATTAACTTATTATTTTCATGAAGGTAAGAATTGAATGGAGCCACTACGAGCAATACTTGCTGTAGGACTGGTAAGCTAACAGAAAAGCCTATGAACGTTTTCATTGATGAGATTTCCTGCCTCTCTGGTTTCTATCAAGCCAATCAAACTGCTATTTACCTATAAGCGTTTTTCAGTTTTAAACATGCTAATAAAAACACCGCTTTTAAGTAAAATAAATATTTTTGTCACACAAATGAAATGCTTTTTAAACTTATTACAATTAAATTTTAGAAGCATTAACAGTTTGCAATGAACACAAAACAAACTATTAATAAAAGTCTTCAAATAGCAATGATAAGCATGGGGATGTAATTCCAAAGCAATACCTAAATACGGAAGATAATTTAAGTGATAGTAGTAAAATCGAAATTGCATGCAGATATAGCATTAATAAATAATACTTTAGTTAAAAAAAAAAGAGAGAGATGGTAAATGCATTATAATTTTCTTTGGAAATCCTCCAGCTGGTAAATAGCCAAAAATAGAAATTGAAGACAATCACAGATCGACTTCAGAATAAAATGATAATTTTTTTAAATCATTTTCTGTACTTAATGGAATTAAAAATATAATAAATTATTCCCTGAAATGTGATTAATAATACTGATTTATAATGAAAACATGAAATTCATCAGAAATTTAAAAAATACACACACGCATCAATTTCAGGCAACAAATAAATCGTAGCAATTATGACATTCTTTTCAGTTCTTTGACATCTTTTGATATCTGAAAATGCATCTCTTCAGTTCCTGTATTTAAGCACTCAGATAAATATGTTGCTGTGATAACCATCACATTTTATTAACTAATTTTAAGCAATTTAAAATTACGTAAATAAAATCCCTCAAATTTTCATTTTCAAAAAATCCTTTAAATAATCATAATTTTACCATGTTACAAGATATCATTCTGTGTGTATTATCAAAAAACAGTTAAGAAAAACATTTAAATAATTATACATCTTATCTCTAATATAGTTAAAATAGATAGACATTTTCGATACAGAAACGATCACGCCTAGTGAGTTCTAACACAAAAGAAAGCAGAAACTGTGAATTGAAAAGACAATATAAATTTTATATAATCACGACGTATCTGTGGAAGCTTAACTTTTTTATTTTGTCATGCATCATTTCTTTCAGAACATTCAACAGCAAAGCAACAAACCATTGCTTCGCTTTAAATTAAAATAAAATATTGAAAATATTGTTGAAAGCATCAGCGACGTCCAAAGCATTCCATTTTAACGTGGGTCGATAAAAGTGTGATGTGAGAACCGACTCGTTATCGGTCTCATTTAAGGCACAATTTGTCTGTGCCATCTAATTCTTAGCTCCATGCTATTTTGTATTTAATTACTTACTTACTGAATAAAATATTCAGAATACAAGCCTTAGTTAAAGCAAACGATGTTCCTCCCCATTGTTTCCAGAGGATTTTATCCGTTTGTGGAAATGAGGTTTAGGGGATTAGATACTTTGCGTCTAATGAGCATGCACAGATTTGCAAGCGCGTGCGTGTTACAGGAAAAGTGCTTGCTATTATTTCATGGTTCGTTAATAGCTTTGGGTAGTGTGAATCACTTCTTAAATAAGATGACGTCCAATCTTTCAAACTTTGAATAACATCTGAGGTGAAATTTTTTGTGAATCTAGATGTCAAAACGAGAGAAATTTGCAAACAATTTTAAGCATAGCGTGGTGATCAGACTCTTAGCAGTACCAGAGTATTTGAATGGTGCAAACGGTTTAAAGCTAATCTCAAAATAATGCCCACTGAATGTGGCTCTCAGTCTATTGTGATCGTTCCTGTGAATATTTAAGTAAGTGAGAAGAATGATAATCTATGTCTATGTTCAGTTTCTGAAAACGAATGCACGTCCGTACACTGGCCATCGCCTAGTTTGAACTTTACAGGAATATGTCCTGCCACACAAACCTTACAATTTTTTCCTCATTTCTAGCGATTTTCACTTATTTATTTCTAGCGATTTTCACCAGCACTTCCTTGGAGGCCAGAATTTGTGAAGCCTACGATCCGTTCATGGTTGTTATGTACTGAGAAATCCTTCTACTCTTTCTTATTGAAATGCTAATAAAACCCTGGGATAATTGCATTATAATGGAGGAGAAATCAAAAATTAAATCATTCCTATTCATTATTCATGTTTTCTTATTCTAAATAATAAAAGGTCTCTGTTGACTTGGACTTCTTTCGTATGTTCTAAGAAATACTGGCCACTTGCTAAAGTGCCTACCATGAGATGTTTCACTTTATGTTGTAAAGTATTTTATAATTAATTTTCTATGGAAAGAAGTAAATCACTCTTTTTAAATGTGAATATCGCCCCTTAATACAAAGTCATTTTTAATTTTATAATTATGTATATTATAGAAATTTCCAATTATTAAAATTTAATATAGGAATGCAGGTTTTTGTTTTTCCTTTGTAAATATATGGAGGGAGGATTTAAAATTAATTTACACAGAAATTATGGTAACTTATTTATCAGCCTCGCATTGCCAAGCTATTAAGAAACAAAACTTCATTTACTCACTTCTGAAATCTGACGGCGCAATTCATCATTTTCTCTTTGCAATCGCAAATGACGGTCTTCCTCTTCTCTACTCGTAATAGTATCTGTCAAGGTCCTGGCATCGATTCGCTCACGAGGTCGACGAATCAGTTCCAAGATCTGAAAAAAAAAATTAGAACATAAATTTCCTTTCGCGGCATGTATTATCATGTTTGGTAGTCATGAAATTGTAAACCGTTGAAGTTTATGGAATTAGTTCGTAAATATCACTTTGAAATTCGAAGACTATGTATGGTATCATCTGTTGTAATATATATGAAATCAAATAAAACAATGCTATTTTTGAATACAGAAAGCAGTAAAGGACGAACTGGTGGAAACTATATGAAAGCTGCACACGTAAGCATCAGCATCATTTGTGTAATAAGCGATAAGGTTAAATAGTCTGGAAAAAATTCTCCAAGTTAAAAGAAACCTCTGAATGTAAAGAACTACACCGTGGGAACAATCTGACTTTGGGAAGAGGCACCGGAGTGGTTACAGTACGAAATGAATGTAAGAATCAGTATTTTATATAGCACTTTTGTATCTTTGTGAATGAAGATGTTGTAGTGAATTAGAGATTATACTTATCTTACAATATCTTTGCACACTGCAACTACTCCCGCAACATTGCACATTATGGTTCTACTAACTCATGACAAGTATAGAGGTAGGGATTCAATATTTACTGACCAAAGAGAATTAAACATTTCTCGCTCGCCGATAAATAGGTAGGATTGTCAGAAAAATATTTTCTCAGTTGCTCATTGCCAATAAAAATATAACTTCTCCTTTGTGAACTCACCTTCGGTATGAAGATGAGGGCCATGGACAAAAAGGAACAAACGATTATAGCAAGGGCTACAAAAGCAAATGTCGCATCCGTCTGGCTGCTAATTACCAAAGTTACAGGAGCTGTTATCAGACACAGAACCTAAAAGAGAAAAAAAGAGGTATTATTTACATTGTTAAGAAACAAACAGTAACTAGAATATACACTAAAAATAGAATTAACGTCTTTCTTATGGTTAACTGTAGCAGAACTTTCCAAACATTTTTCTGATGACTACTCATTTATCCATGTTCTTGCGATTTTTAATATTGATTCTGAATTATAAGTGCTATTGTAAACACTATTTAGTATTAACATTTATCCAATTAATTTCAAGTCTGTGCTTAGTGTGCCCTGGTATAGTTTATCAAGACGTGGTATTTTAGTTGAGAAATTAGCACGCCAGTCATCTTTAAGAAATATTTTGCTTTTCTGTTTAGATTTTATATTTTCTATAGCAAAAAACGTCCATTTGTAAAAAAGCAGCTAATGAAAATGGAAGGAAAAATTTTTCTATACCCTTTTTCAGCCTAACGTTATACATAAATGCAAAAGGACGATACTAAGTTATTCAAACATTTTACTTCAAGGTATAATGGCATGGTAAATCTAATGCGTTTATAAGCAACGAAAGGATTAACGATAGCCATTTCTCTATATGCAACTTCTTTCTTATTCCGAAATTAGGTATGAAATGTAGATAAAAGATTGTTGAAGAAATTTTGACAATTCAGTACAGCTTATCCCCAAATAAAATAATGACTGGATGGTAAATGTACAACAAGAGTTTGTATTATACATTCTGAGTGGCACAAATGCATATTTAAATTTAGTTATTTCAAACACATCTCATGAGTGTTTGTTAGTTGCGACCCTAGTTCGAAAATCATCGATAAATAAACAAATGCCACTAGTCACGTGGGCTTTAATGACTCAAAATCACCGTGATCAGTGGACTTCGTATGTTAGATATGCAAATATTTTACAAATTGTGCTGGAATAGCTCTTAGTTTGGGTAAAAATGTAAGGAAAACATTTTTTAGGCCAATGACTAATTCTGAATAATGCTTCAGTAAGCTTACTATGGTATATTAATGGTATATTATTTCTTGATACAGACCTGATTATTACTTATAAATTGTCAAAGCATAAAATTATTTCATAAATATCAGAAGCACATGACAAAAGATTCTTGAATTGTGTTAATAAAAATATCTGAATTGTGTTAATAAAAAATGTGTGCAAAATATTTATAATATACAGATTATTTTTACAAAACAAACTCTTTCTGACACATTGCCATTTTTTATATTATAGAATTTTTGCAATAAGATAATAAAATGTTTCTGTGTGAAAGAAAATTTCACTACATTCTTCCCTTGTAAGCTTTGCCTAGTTTTCTTTTAATACGCCGATTAGATAAAAATATATAATTTATCCCCCGTGCTATCCTACTTGTGTGATTGTTATTAGTACTGATCAAAGATGTTCTAAAACAAGTGGCACATCGGGGCGTGTGCTGGCAGCTCCTCATTAATACCAGAAGTGACCATATTACTGCAGAGCTAGGAAACGACGCTAACGTTTCCCATAGTTTCAGTTAAGCTTATAAGTCCGTTGCACTCGCACACATCCAACAGTATATAATGAACTGCGTCTGATGAGTCCTTTGCATCCATATACATTCAAAAGCTTAACGTTCAACTGTATCCATACATATTCAAAAGCTTGACGTTCAACTGTATATACATAATTCATCATATACTCTAAGATGTATATCTCTGCAACTACAGATATACTAATGTGCTGATACTTATAATTGTTCATCGATGTAAATGTTTGAAGCAAGCAGGTGCTCGTTCAGACTGGACCACCAGTAACAGGAAAGTAAGATGGCCAGATAAATCCCGTTCCTTTTACATTATATGGACGGCTGACCTCGTCTGTGACATTTGCACAATCAACTTCTTTCTCCTAAATGCAGTATGGTATATACTCGGTGCGTTAGAGGACTATGATTCTTGGAGATCACACTGACTTACTATCCTTATTAAACAGACTGTGACACCTCAGACCTACCTGAGGATAATAAATGAACAAATGCGTTTTTTTTATGGCAACTACATTCCTTGGCACAGACACCGTATTTCAATAAAATAGTGCTCCAGTGTCACATCATAAATGCTGAGAGTAGTTTCAAGAACATGAAAAATTCTCTTTCAGTGCATAACTTTCCAAATTCGCAACATGAATCCTGTCCAGCATTTGTAGTTTGATCTGGAGAAAGGGTTACGAATAACATTTCTATAGCCGTTTGATCCATTAAATTTAAGGAGGCTGCTACTGTTGAGAAATATTTGTTGATATTGCCACAAAAAAATGGAGTTACGAATCCGTCTGCTTGATATTTAGCTCCTCCATGCCCGGACGTTTGAAAATGCAAAAATGATGATGTATAGTTCAGTCTTCTTTATTCAGAATTTTGATCTGCACTACGCAGTTAAGTTAGAGCAATAGAAATATTCTATGAGACCATTAAATTCCCACTTTTCAAGTTTTGTAACTGAATTTAGGTTTATAACCTGCCCTGTATAAATAATTGTTTAGGTTTTAATTAAAAGAAGATAAAACTTTATGTCATGCTGGCATACATTGACTCTTGTTTTCTTGCTTTGATTATTTTAAAATACTATTGCAGTCATGGTTGGCAAGAAAGTAATTTCGGTTTGCATGCTATCAATCTTATAATTTTTTTTTTCTTTTAAGATTCGGCCCCTGACACTTTTAGTTTGCTATAGAAACAAATTCCGTGTATTTTTGTTGACAGCTGTTAATTTAGATCAGTTTCAAAGTGGGGTGCAAAAATAAACATTTTCGACATATTTTACTTTTCTATTTTCATAAAGGCAAGAAAGCGGCTGAGGTTCACCAAGAGATATGTCGAGTTTATGGAGCTGATTGCTTACAGAACGTATGTGTCAGAATTGTTTCTTTAGCAACACGTATAAAATTATTGGAGCTTTATTGGGAAGTGATGTCGCATCCCCCATACAGTTCCGACCTTGCATCATCAGATTATCATTTATTTCGAAGTTTACAAAACTTCTTAAATAGTAATGGTAAAATGTTCAATAATAATGATGACTTCAAATTGCACTTGGTTGAGTTTTTAGCTGATGAAAACCAGAAACTCTATGAACGCGGAATCATGAAGTTACCAGAAAGGCCATCGAACAGAATGGATGCCATCTGACTGATTAAAGTTCACTTCTATACGGAAAAAATTGAGTGAGTTTATGAGAAAGAAAACTGAGAAAATAATTTCGGTTTTATTTCACACTGAAAAACCCAAATTACTTTCTTGTGAACCCGATAAATAAGTTATCTAACAACATATGTTTAAAACTATAATCAGTACGGCGAAAGCTATCTAAGCTGAGACAGAAAAATTTACATCACATTATATTGATGTTTTTTGTGCTTTGGCTGGTTGGGTTTTGCGCACAGCTACACAGAAAAATGAGCAGTTATAAATTGTAATGAATCAAACCCTTACCACAACATTGTAGATGCTCATTCCAACAAGTCTAGAGTCATTCAGCTGCTTCACTTTCACACTCCTTGTCTCGTAAGCCAAAAAGATACCAAAGATAAGCAGTAGACCCTTGTAGCCGTAAATTACACCTAGCGGAAAGATCTGGTGAGAATAGTAAGGGATAAAAAATGTGCATACATGCAGTTGTTCTACTGTATATATAATTCAAGCATATGGGTTAATGCTTTTCAGCGTAAACTTTTTAAAATGTAAAACACCGATGATAGGAATGTAATATATAACAGGAATGTTAATTTCTGAGAACGGGTTTAAGGTCAAACTGTAAACGACCTTGTGTTATGAAGCGTGTCTAGAACGTAAAAATACAAAGGCGATTTTTCACCAAATATTTTTTTACCGAATTTCATTAAAAATGATTTATATCAGATCACAGCACTCTTCGAGAGATATGCCACCATTCATTGAGTTTAGGGATCAGATTTCGATCTAAACTAAATAAATGGATCTAAGGATCAGGTCCCGCGCATAAAAAATTTTCACCGGCCCTTTTAACTATTCCGTGTCTGTTTGGTATCATTTTGTCATCATCATCGAACATTTTCTAGATCTGTAATATCCTGATAAGTTTGTCTACAAGTTTCCTTAAGTGATGTTTATTGTAATGTAACACCAGAACCACTTCAAGCATAGGCAGTGGCTTGGGATGCCACTTTTCGGAGGACGTCGGCTAAATTTCCTCTTGACCAAATAAAGATATATTTGCTTTCAATTACTATACGTTTAAGGAACGCCATTGGATTGATCGCCTAAGGTGCCAAAAATGCTGGAGCCGGGTTAGTGTGACATTAACTGTCCGCGTCTTACATTTAGCGAGACTGGATCACCAATGCCAAATCAGAGATCAGTTTGAAAAATCAATGCTGTGTAAATGGCAGACTGAAATAACAGGTTCAAGGTCTCTGGCAGTGTTGCCAGTCGGTGAGCAACAACGCGTCGTAGTTGCCAGCCTAGTTTGCGATGCATTTTGACTTTTTGGACAGGCTAGATACTTTTTTACATGCTTCTAAAATAATGTTGAGTATTTAGTATGCATCATTAATTGCTGATCTCATAGAAGAATTCTAAGTATTTCAAGAAGATTAAAATCGTTATCTCGTAGTATTATAATCCTTTCTTTTCTATTTTGTATTTCTTTTTTGTTTTATTCTAACCGTGCTGTATATTGTAGCCTCTTTTTTACGTATTATTTATCCATACATATTGTTTAAGTAACGCGTTTTGGCAAACGTGTAGGATACTTCTGTTCCAAATCGAAGATAGACTTCTATTAAGCACTTTGCGAGAAATAAAATTTCAGTTGTTTATTTCAGTAAAATAACTTTGTGCAGTTTTCCAGCACACAAATGATGAGGTTCAACCTAAAAATTAACACAAATAAGCAAAAAAGAAAAAAAAATTCATGTTGACTGCAGTTTTTTTTAAAGTTTTGTCCTTTATGCTTATTCAAGAGCATTCGTTATGCCCGACCCGAATATTTGGCAGCAGGCAATTTGTTCCATCTGAACTAAAAGACTCGGGCCTAGTGCTAGGAAGCTGCAAAATGATTTTGCATTTCCTCATAATCTTAGTTTGCCCTCTGAGAAAACAAGGATATATCAAAAGAAGACTTTAAAGAGATTATTTTAGCCATTAATAGATTTCTAAAATAACTGTACTGATGCCAAAGAGATGTGTTTCTTATATAATATAGGTTATATTTCATAGTTATTTTCTATTTTATTCTGTAACATCTGTAACTCATCATGTAATTCTCGCTGTACAGAAATTACATTAAAAATTCTTTCACAATACATAAAATATTTAAAATTTACCTAACCAAACAGCATTGTTTTCCGATTCACAGTGCTCTAGCTGAGGTTCAATTTTGATATCCTGCGATTCTTCCGGATCTTCCAAAGGAAAGACTTCCAGCTTGCGCTGCAGTGGATCGATAAATGTCCATGCTGACAGAATCACGACATCCATGATCAACAAAACCCCGACCATCACATATAGTTTCCAGCTGGCCACTTTCTTTGAAATTTCAAAACAGAACATTTAATTAAGACATATTCGTTATCAACTAAACGTATTAAAATTCATAAAAAAATAACACATAAAATGAAAAGTTTAAAATTTGCTTCCTCTTACTAACCTTATAGTATTAAAAGCTAAAACAATATAAATGAATATTCGTATATTTTAAGAAATACAGGAAAATTTGACGACTTAATGCTCTCAAGTTTGGAGACAAATCTCACAAGCGCTTATTTAAAAAAAAAAAAATAAGTTTAAGACAAAAAATATTATGATTTATCTGTATAAACTTTGGAACTTCGAATGCAACAAATAGAACAAATACGAAAATGGCGAAATTGCTCGCTAAAACAGAATTGCCATGCGCATGATTGCGAGAGTTTGGCGCATTCGGAAAATTCGGTGACAGCGTACTTAAATGGTTGCACTAATGCGTAAGCACCTCACAGATTTCTTGTTATAATTATATTGAAATTGTTTCAGGTCTATAATTACTGGACATAATATTCTGCAGTATAATTCACTATTTTACAGGTCACCACCAGCAAAGTAGATAAGACAGTTAAATAATGGATCGTTCAAAATAGGTTAAAGGGTCAAAATGGTTTTCCCATGCAAAATATGTATATAAGTCAGTTCGTCTAAGAAAGCCCCTCACATTCCATCCTTACTTTTAGGTAGTATCCTACGAATGTTTTACTAAAATCCAAATAATCCCTAATACCAATTTTGAAAAATGTTATTTTCTTTAGACAGAAATTCAAGGGAATTAGTGTTTTCTTGCTCTAAACTTGCTCTCAAACAAGATTTTACTAATTTATGTCTAAAAAAACTCTTCACTCTATTAAAGCTACGTATTACTAATACCAGTGTTGTCAACAATATCGTCCTGTTACCTTTATGTTAAAATAATATCTTGTAAAGAATATGCGTGAATGTAAGAAACACTTTTTTGTCCACTCTGGAAATGAGATCTTCTACGCTATACAAGTTTATAGTCACCAGTTCAGCATTAATATCAGACTAATAATTGCTCACTGTATCATCAGTTTGCCATTTGCGTTAAATAATACTTGATAATGCAGGAATTTTTTTAATCTTTTCTTAGATCTACTAAAGATTTATTGAATATTTATAACTGAATATTTTGCTTCTTTTTGCCGCTTCGAGTTATAATGTTTTTGAAGTAGGTTCAACCTCTAAAGTTTCTGAAAACTCTTGGGGACTATGGATAGCGTTTTTAAGTCCACTATCCCTAGTGAGTCTAGAACTTTTCCACATTTTTGGAAAGCCGGATTGATTCTAAACTTTCACCTGGGACTGTTCAAAAACCGCTCAATCGATACCCACAATTAAAGTCACAAAGCACTATTTTAGTACCTTATTTCTATCATCCCACATCGTAGCTTGTTCTAAAATTGTTTGGTGTGCTCCGGAAATTGATTTCCTAGGTGGTTGGTTACCTATCTACCTAGAGCCAGATCAGATGGTAAGGGACAAGATGAGAATGTTATTTAATAGCTTCAGGGATACTAAGGTAGTATTTTATCCATATGTATGCGGATTTTATAAATTACAGATTGATTAGACTTGAAAGCTTAGTTAAAAATTTAAATTATTTGCTGAACAGTAGGTGATAGATAAAAGCTGGTCCGAACCCCCCGGGCGGCTTACATAGACGATTTGGGTATTGTCCAGAACAGACAACTGTCCAAAACAAGCAGCTCCTGGGGCACTGCATCGGGGGTTCATTTAGAGATGTTCAAAAGCATATAATGGCAAACAGAGTCCATCCTATACCGTCGGCCGCCCACGTGCAAATTAAAATTGGTCCCCACTTTTTACAGAAATATATTAAGTTTGATAATCATTTCACTGCCTTAAATTTGGCCGCCTACGAGCTGTGCACCATCTTGCCCTCCGCTAGAATTGGCCCCGATGCCAAACAAGGACTAAATGCTAAGAAATACGAAGGAATGGTATTTGCTGAATGTAGACAGATAGTGCGTAAACAAGACATGTTTGAAGCATGGATATTGCAGGGTAATCAGACACTTATGCTAATAGGTAGTGCGTCATTAAGCATCAGCACGTTGAAAACTAACTGCACTGGAGGCTGCGTGGAAGGTAAATTAAAAATTTTATATTTCGCTCGAAGGCAACACTTAAGTGTATGGTAGCGTGATGTAATGATGTATCTTAAGTGTATGGTAGTGTAGATGTAATGGTCCAAAATAGTTTCGAAAGATCCCACCAGAAACATTTCTAACGGCAGAAAACGTTTTTTTAAACGTTTCGCAAAACAACAAAATTTGTCTCATGATCCACTGGTGGCTGTGACTCACACTTTGAAGACCACTCTTCTAACTTGTCGAATTAATAGCCTAACTGAGAACTCTGTATTTTATAAATTTTTAACAAATTAGTAAATGGATACACATTAATATCACAACATTTTTTTGATAAATTTAACATTTGCACATAAGTAAAAATCCCACCTACAACAAAAATAAAAATTATAAGTCATATCTCACCTTACTTTCTGATTTTGACTTTGTTGTTAACCTGTGAACACGCCATATTTTGGAAAACATCGCTCCATAAGACAAGGTAAATCCAATTGTCAGAAGCCAAGCTCTAGCCTGTAATGAACGAAAATAAATGTAAGTAACTATGATGGAATTCAACATCATACATAACACAAAAGTAATTTCCAAACACAGTTAATATAGATCTGTAGTGAAATTTTATATGTCAAAAATGTTAGGTACCTAGAAAATAAGGAATTTATTTTCTAGTAATTCTTGAGGCTTGAACCACGTTTTTCCCAGTTTTACACTAATATGTCATGCCATGTCTTTATACAATGAACTAAATGTATTTTATCAGCTGCTATTTATTCACGATTAGAATTAGCGACTTTCTTCAATCGATAATACTAGAGAAGTTAAGCGAAATGCACATAAGATTAATTTTCATTGTTATGTACCTTTCCGAAATTATCCCAATATTCTTGAGCAATTTCAACTTATCATAGTTCCTTATTTCATCATCGTTGATATAAATGAAAATTGTAGACTTTCTCACCTAATAAATTAATTCAAACTTTCTGATTTAAACTATATTCAAACTTTCTGATTTAAACATTCTATGTATTAAATGTTCGCTCCAAAGTATGAAAGAATAAATTAAACGCTTCCGGTTTCGTTGGAACAGGTATACATAAAGTTATTAAACTTTTTATCAATTTTCGGAACTTTTCATTACGGATTCCTTATCCGATCTGACGAATGGTCGATATTCATACTTGATTACCTTCTAAACGTTATCTAATTCTCATTGTTTTCACTTTAAAGTCATTTAAGTTTTCCCAACTGAAGTTAGTTTTTGACATCATCCTCAGCTTTCCGTTCATTTAGTTTCCTATAAAATAAACGATAAAATTTTCTATTAGACTGGAAACAAATCAACATCATTTTTAAACGCATCAGAATTTTTATTAAGGGCTTTAAAAGTCAATTACTTTCTCTTCTGAAGGGATATGTAAACCCAGTTCCTCTGCGATATTAATTAAACCAATTTAGTTTGCATCTTTAAACATAAATACAATATTTTTCTGCTTATATTTAACTCTCTGAGGGGCAGAAAAAGGCAATTAACTTTTTCAGCAAGACTCTTGTTTTATTTACTATATCAAGTGTTACAATGAAGTTATTTGCGACAATTACACATATTTTGTCCAAGACGCTTGAAAAAAATGAACACTTCTGGTAGTTAGTGTCAGTGACCACCGCCCACAGAACACATCCCTACAAATCATTCTCTATGATACTTAGGGAAATAGTTTTTATTTTTCAAGCAGAGTGCAACTTAGCATGTGCTGCATTCCCACACTGTTCGTAAAGGCTTTTTCTTGGTACTGCAGAGTGCAAAGAGTCGTGATGTAGTCTTCGATGGCTGATGCTTATCTTCTTCTTGAAGATAAGCATCATCAGATAAGCTTCTATCTTGAAGACGAATTGCTGTATCAACTACTGTCTTATGTTTCTTGATTGCCATCTAGTGAGCTACAAGGAAACTTCAGAAACGGTCAGTCTTGAAAACCACTCACACACGAGTGAGTAAGATGTTCAGTATAAAAGGTGGTTACTCTAGGTAACCATCGCCCTCCAAAGAGTTAAGAGGAACAGCCTGCAATTTAATACGATGATTTTTGTCAACGACGTAGAAACTCCTACGTTCTGTTTGCACTTATTCCATAGTTTCGATTTAAGCAATTTGTTTTAATTGATTAGGTTTTCCATCTATATTTCTCTCTTTATTCTGCTCATTTTCTTCTTGATCATCATCAAAAGCCTTCTGTGAAAAGCGTTTTGAAAGCTCTATGAAAGCTTTACAGTTTTTACAGTTTTAACTTTGGAATTTTCTTTAGTTTCTTTTCTTTAGATGTTTCCGTACATTTAGCGGTCATTTTCTCTTTTGATTGTTCACCACTTTTGAGCACAGTCACAATAAAATTTTAGGAAAAAGCTGAAATAGAGTTTCGTCGATATAAAGCTAATACTATAACCTCTTCCTAAACCGTCATTTATTATGAAAGATTACCTTTGATTTCTAAAATGGCATTGGACTGTTGTCACTTAACCTAGAAGTACTTCTCAGTAACAAAATAAAATAAATCCAAAACTCACCTGACATAAGTTGCTGAAACTGCTTTCCCCTACAAACTGTCCATCCAGTCCTAGCAGACACGCACACAAAAGACAGCATATGATACCCACTAGCATAATGTTATTACATATGGGGTGAGATAGCTGGATGTATCTGAAATAAAGGTAAACGAGAAATATTAATGACACTATTTTATAATTTAAAATTGCTTAATTTTTTCCCCTTAATGATGGAAGAAACATAATATTTTAAAAATTAGCCATAATCCTATGAAGCAGTAACAAAATCAATATTAAGTTCGCCTTTAACATTCAAATCTGAATGTTATTTACAGTCATATGGATTACTTGCCAAATGGCTTTTACATTATATTCCCCTATCTAATAATCTCATTTAATGATACTATTAGCTGAAGGGATAACTTCAGTTAAAACAGAAGGGAGAAACGGGGTTCTTTTCTGCTTATTTTAGCGTATGATGCCTGTGATCAATAAGGACGCTAAGTTTATTTGAAGTATTTATCAAGCTTACCTGGAATGACGGAATATAGTGTTGAAAACTAGAAGTCCTATTGCCCATACGATACCGAGACTGGAAACCGTGGTCATGCTGATGAAAAGACTTAGGGACACAGTTCTTAAGACCTTCACGATGATTGTTCGATCAGGTGGAGGTCTGTCATCTGAAGGCAAAGACGTAATTAGATAGATAATAACAATACGTTTATAAAAATTGACAATAGTTTTAAAAAAATCCAGAACTGACGCTGTAGATGTGATCTAAGTTTTTTAGTGATTGAATTACACCGTTTTTATGTTTCAGTTAAGGTTTTCATACATTTAGTTAATCTGCATGCAATATTTCTAGAACTATCAACAATTTAAAGTTGTTTAAGTTCCATCAAGCCTAACGACGCCTCCATTTGTTTACATGTGAAACTTAGTAGCATAGTGAGTTCAATCAATTTCTGCACCAACTTCAGTGTCTTTTTGCCGAGTGGGGCCAAAACTTTTGAGCACCGGAAAATCTGTCTTTTTTGCCCAATTTTAATTGTAATTTTTTTTCTTCTTTTAATTCTATTTGGTGTTTTAGGTTTTTCTGTATTTTGCAATTTTCAATAAAGATGTTTTGAGATGTTATATATTCTTCCTTGACGTGAACTGAGAACTGAATTGATTGAAGGAGAAATATATCTGTAATGAAATTCGGGGAAATAAATTTAAAGGAAATGCAGCAAAGAATGTGCTAATTTAATAGGCCGTAAAAGGAAGTCATGTGGTGTCGATATCAGATTTTTTAAGTTGCTATTACTTCGTGCTTTTATGGGTTTTAGACAATCGAAATTATACTTTGAATATTAATGAATGTTTACTTTATATGCATTTCTGTTATTAATGAAAATAGTTCTGTAAAAACAATAGAATAACTTTTTATTGATAAGTTTCTCTTATAATTTTTTTAATTTAAAATTAACCTATTGCTGGAAAGAATGCAGTGTACTAAAGGAAGATAAGTTTAAATAATAATAAAAATAAATAAATAAAAGAAAGTTTTCAATTTTCTTATTTTTCAGTGAACATTAAAATGAAAATATGGATTTCGCAAACAAATCATCATCATATTTATATATATAAAAAGGCTAACGAACGTACAATTAGTAATTAAAATAAATGCCAGTTGGCTTAAATCTGTTTCTACGACTCAATTGCAAATAGCAAGTGAGAAAGAAAAAAGTTAATTTATAAATCTAATAAATCCATGACCTCAGTAGCTACCCTTTTAATATGTACACTACGCAGAAAAACAAAACAAAACAAAAAAGACGAGACAGTTTTTTATCTCCCATTCGACTGGGCCGATTGACGAAATTCAACTTGCGTTTTTCATGTCTCGAAAGCGCGACTTAGGATACGTATTAGATATGAATATAGCATTGTTCTAATATAGGTATTTTGACACAAAATCGGACTTTTTCTGAAACAGCATACCAATTTTTTTCCATATTTCGATTCTACGACTCAAATTACACCAAACAACCAAGTTTTGTAATAATCGCACAAGTAGTTTTTAAAAAATTAGCTCTCAAAATGTTAGCTCCTCAATGTTAATTGAGTTTGTTATATATTTATCAATCTCTCTCTTTCTATTAAGCTTATTTGATTCTTCCTTTCACATTTCGAAAATCAGGTTCATTTCAAATAAAATTCACCATTTTTCGTGATTTATTTTTAAAATTTGCATTTTTAAATAATTTTTATAAATTTTTCAAAAAACAATTTGAATTATAATCTATAAATTGTTTACCATCATCTTAAAGTAGACGTATTTCTAAGTATACCTGCAAAAAATTAATTCTTTTATTTAAAATTTCCGAAGATATACGTGAATTTATGTATTGGCGCATTTTAAATTTTGGCATATTTGTTGAAAGTGATAAAGCATCAGATGGGGTTTAAATACTTTGCTGAAATTATTTGGAAGTAGAAATGATGTGATTTTTTTTCCGCTCTTGCACAATATAAAAAGGTAGGAACGAGGTCCCCTTTTTTTCGCTCCAACATAATGGAAGGGAAAGGAAAATTGGTTGCCATATATTAAAAAGTTCGCCAAATGAATTATTCTTGGCTAAACTGAAAACATTTCGCCAAGATAAATTTTTGAATAACTCCGTAAATTTCGCACTAAATTTAACGCAATTTAATATCTAGGCATAATTTGAGTCGTAGAATCGAAATATGGAAAACATTGGTACGTTATTTCAAATAAAGTCTGATTTTATGTCAAAATACCTATGTTAGAACAGTGCTATATATAAATCTAATATATATCCTAAGTCGCGCTTTCGAGACATGAAAAATGCAATTTGAATTTTGTCAATCGGCCCAGTAGAACGGGAGATATAAAACTGTCCCTCCCTTTTTTCCCCGCAGTGTACAAACAAATCGAAGGCTTATTTGAATGCGTTTACTTATGGCTAACAACAAGTATCAAAACATAAAAGAATGCAGTCCGGAGCTTGTTTTACATTTCCGCGCAATGGGCTTTATTCCTAATCTACATATAAAACTGCTGTAAAGTAAGTGCTTTAATTAGAGGAATAATTCTTAAAATACTGAAGATTACCTGCCCATTTTTCTTTTCTCAGCCAAGTTAAATTATCAGTCTGCGTATCGTAATAACCGAGCAAGGAATAATTTCCATCTGAAAGAAGTAGAGTTATAATAAAATAAAATGCCTGTTAATATAAAATTACAAAACATTATACATAAAAATTATTAAAATTAAGTCACTGAAAATGTCTAAAAAATTTGGCACTTAGAATAAAAATGATATTTTGGACTGGATTGGATTTTTTGTCAGATTACGAAAAAGTGCACTAAGCTATCTGTTTAATTCAGTAATTTGGCAAAAAACGTTTTTAGTCAAACCAAATTATTCTACTTGAAATGTAATAAGTGCTGCTAGAAATATCTTTCATTAATTACGATACTGATGCAAAAGTTCAAAAAGTTATAAATTAGGTATATCATGTATTAAATACATTTTAAATTATATCGTTTAGATATATCCCCAAATGTTGATCTAAACTGACTGTCTGTTGGAAGTAAAAGTTTAATTTAGAATCTTCGCGATAAGATCTAAAACTTTCCAGAAGTCCACGGGTGGGCGGAAAGTCCTTTACATTGACTTTCAGCATAAAATAATTTTTGATTATAAAATGTGGAACTGCATCTTACATCTTATGGATAAAAAAAATGTCCGCTTAAAGTTACGTAGACGGAAATCTTCAACATTTGATGAACACATAGATCACATGAACACATAGATCCATGTGAACATTGTTCAACTCGTTTATCGTTGGCTGGACGCAAACGTCTAACCTACAAGTCCTTCTGAACATGGTATTGCAATTGTACATCTTGGATTTCCTAACTTTGCCATCTGTTTGCCTATTGATTTCACTGACGATCATTTAATCGATGCTTTCTCAGCCGAATAAATTTCAACTCATATGCTTGACCTTCCCTGCAAAGCGCATCAAGAACATTTCCCATTGCAAAAGCTTCTCCTGTTAGAATAATAAAAATCTTGGCAATGATGCTTTGCCAAAGTGCATCATAAAGTCATTCACGATGTTTTCCATTGTTTTTCCCAGTAAACTGGCATTTGTGAACCCATGCGAGCCATGAAATACTTTTCTATAGCGAAAGCGCTTGAGTCCGGCCATTCCAAATTCGCCCACATTTCTTACTATTACTACGGTGGTAGGCATAACTATATGGTAAGCAAAGATACAAATCACGCCTCCAAACCTCGAAAAGGACAGGGTGACTACTACTTTATTTTTGCAAAAATGTTCATTTCTTTTATGCAACCAAGAGTAAGTAAAGTGTTAAAAGGCTTTCCAAGTGTTAAAGGACTTGATTGGGTAGTTAGAATTCTAAACTGTAAACGGCTTTAATCCAGCTAATGAAATGTTTTCGCATGTTAAAGAGTACTCAGTTTTTGATTCTAAATAATTTTAGGGTTTTTTATACAAGTTTAGTTCAAATAAAATTTTAGTTATTGTTTATTTCAATGGCTAACAACTTCTGCACATAAGAAGGCCAATTTAAAATGCCTACTGCATCCGCGTATCGCACAATAAACTTTACAATAAAGCCTTACCGTACGCGGACTTGCGGGACGTCATTTTGCACATACATGTTATATTGTTGTTTCCATTTAATTTTCCCAAAGCGAGAATTTCAGTTATACACGGCACACTGCAGAATGTCATCGTGTTGCGATAGTCTGTTTAATGACTGGTTTGAATATCCATTCATTAAAGAACTCAAACATTGCATGGGATAGCAAAACTTAAGCTTCAAAGTTCTCTTAATTCTCGATAATGTTGAGGACACGGTGCTGAAGCCCTCCCAACATTACATACAAATTTCGAGGTTTTATTCCTTTTACGGAACACCACTTCCTTAACTCAACCAATACATCAAGGAATCATAAAAACATTCAAAGCCTATTATGTCAGGCACGTTTTCATCTCTGCAAATAAAGCACTAGACGAAGGAAAGCACGTCACACTAACGGCATTTTGGAAGCAATCGAACATAAAGCACTCTGCATATAAATTATTAAACTCGGACGGGGACGAGTAAATTTACTAGTAATAAATGCCTGATGGCATCAGCTCTGGCCAAAAGTTGCAACAATTTTAAAGGATTTTCATCGATTGAAAACGAAGTCAAGGAGACCGTACAAATAGCAAAAACATCAGGCAGCGAAGGATTTTCAGATATGGAAGAAATAGAAATTAACGACTTAGTCAAGAATGACGATCGTGAAATCACAAATCAGGAAATGGATGGTCATATAACAGCAGTATACAGCTGAAAGACAAAGAGCTTTGGCGTATAAGAAGTTAAAGAATTGTTAAAAAAGGCACAGGAACCATCTGATTGTGTAAAGGCAGGTAGATCCAAATGATGAAAGGAGATGATACTTTATGAGAGGTATAAAAAAATCACCATCTATTTAAAAACAATTATTGTATCATGTATCTACTTATTAAATAATAATAGCAATCTTTCAATTACAATAATATTTACGTTTGAATAAATTATACATACTTTCTTAATCTGAAATCTCTCGCTCTCTCTCTTTTTTTTTTTTTTTCTTTTTCTATAGAACTTTGTAGAGGGCGATTTTACTATACGTGCAGTGTGTTAATGACGTAATCCCCGCGTTCGGCAAGGGTTACTGTATTTAAATAATATTTATAAATGCATCTTGAGATTATATATATATATATAATTGTATAAGCAATAAATATATCTTCAAGATCTATATATATATAATGTATAAGCAATAAATATATCTTCAAGATATATATATATATAATTGTATAAGCAATAAATATATCTTCAAGATATATATATATATGTATAAAATATAAAATATCTATCTTTCAAATAATAAATTAATGATAGCCCTTAACTCCCGTCTTCGTTCTAAAAATAACAGAGCAATAATTTTTGAACGAAAATTCCCTGCAGTTCTGTTGTGCACTTATCCATGAAATCTGAGCCCGACATTTGGACATTCTGGATACTGTCATGTGATATGAAATGGAATTCGGTACAAAAAGGTAATTGCATCGCAACTCGCTATTCTTCTTCGCTCTTCACTTCTGCTTCTAGACGCTTGTGTCGCCTTGCCGCTAGCCACGCAGTGTTTACTTTTCCAATTTTCTTACTTACTGTTACTGTGTTTACTTTTCATTTATTTCAAAAATGTAAGCTGTACAAAATGGGGGGGGGTTATAGCGCACCCAGAGTTATGATATACGTTATCAATACTCATGAGATGATGTGCATTATCATATATTCTGTATGTGCATCGATCGTAAGTCAATATACACCAAAACGATAATCAATATTTTGCTGCATATTCTGTAACTGTGCAAGAATTAAATCATTAATGCAATAATTTACTGCCGAATGTCTTATTATGTGGAGTGTACAAGGTCTGTGGAGAAGCCTGAAATATTATGTGGAGTGTACAATAAAATGCCGTTGTGGGCCATCAATTAAGCACCACTGCTTTCTTAATTCGTTGTTAAATTCTTTATTCTTGGGAATCATTTACCTTTCTACTTATGTAACATTAGCCAGAACATAAAGTAAAACTTATTAATAGAATTTAAATTTAGAGTTATTTTAAGAATATAAAAATGCAAATTAAGAAACTTTACCTGTCATCTGCTCAACTTGAGTCCAAGCTATTCTGTCGCCTTTAGAAGAAAAAGCCACCCAACCCTAAAAGATATACAGTTACTATTAAACTATAAAAGCAAATTGCTGAAAAATATATTATTGCCAACAAATTATTAATAAATGTACGATTAAATTACATCAAAATTCAAGCTAAAATTTATGGGGCATCTTACCGTACAGGCGACTTTGCTCTCATAGAACTACTACTATTTATCAGTTTTTCTTTTATGTAGCTAAACAATGTTTCAATGGAATGCAATACATTTTTAACAAGTCACTTTTAGATTTTCGTAACTAGTCAGTTAAAAAATTGCATTTAAGTGAGAATTTAATCATAAAACAATGATTGACCATCATATCAAAAGCTAAAGTTGTTCATTCTTTTCTTGGAGACACGTATTTTTTTAACATTTTAGTATGTCTTGGTGTTTTAACATTTTAGTGATCATGGTGTTTGCTCAAGGATCATGAATTTTCGTAATATGTCGAAACTTTTGCGTTCCGCTTTTAATTGGCAATAATAGAAATAGTACGCTAGTAGTTTTCAATAAGCATTTCTTCATTCTGTATAATATCTTTTTCTCTGTTTCAGGACACTATTAATTTGAGCTAGAATAGGCATTATCAAGCCATAACAATGTCATTTGCAGAAAACCTTTACATTTCGCGCACTGTTTATTTAAATGCTGCCTGATCTTAAATAACAGTTTTATAGCTTTTATTACTATCAGTCCTTTCCCGTTGTTCTGAGGGCTAAGAAAACCTTAATCCCAAAACTATTTGTTTAGTTCATACCAGCTTTCCAAATTTTCAGTTTTTAATCATTTTAAGGCTTGTTTGTAAATTAGTATTATGTAGTTTGGTACAAATTATAATCATTGAATCTTTTTAGAAGCGAAAACATCATTCGTGTTTTTAGAAAAAGAGATGCAGTTTCACATAAATCATGACAATGCTTAGGCAGTAAAACTCACCGAGACTCCAAGAAACTGGGTAGTGTTCATAGCGGAGTAGATCTGTTGGGCGATGTATTCATCTTCATAGGTAAAGTCTTCAATGGATTTGTTGACAGTTTTCAGCTTGTTTATGGTTTCATTCAGAGCCAGAGCTATTGCCCAGATTGCATCATATGCAAGAGGCGCTTCTTGGTACCCCACGGGCCTTCTTTCATAACCATATTCGTCATGAAGTACCTTTTCATACCGAAGTAGAAAGTCAGCTGAAGTCTAAAAATAAACAAAATAAAAAATAAAAAAATTTCAGAACAGCAAAGTATCATATGCTGTAGCTCACATAGGAAACAACTACTTTCTAAGCTTGTTACGTGAGTTAGATATATTTATGTTGAAAATCAAGCGTAGTTCAGGTTGTTATGCATCAAGCCCCATGTCATTTCACCAAGGAACGCGGTCATACAAATTTCACACTTCAGAGCTGTATTTAACTAACTCAACAATCGATGTATGTTTGGAAAAGTTGTTCTATTATAAAACTGTGTTAGTATTTGTATTAAAGAGCATTATCATTAAGAACGAGGTTATGCGAGATTAAAACAAATTCTAACCGTTAAATAGTAAAATATTAACTGTATTCAAAACAATAATTAAAATTCATGTGGCATTTCGTTATAACAATTAAAAATGTTTTTTTAAAACGAACCTTGCACAATAATAAACAAGTATAAAAGATCAAATTCCACCAGAATTAGTCAACTAGAATATGCACAATAAAACAGATCTTTCACCGAACTACATTACTTAAATCTTTCACATTACTTAAGACCTTTCACCGATCTTAAGATCTTTCACCGGTTTTTATATCTTTCACCGAACTACATTACTGCTTAAAACTGTCATACTTCAACTCTAACTGCAACTGAATTAGCCATTCAGCATTTGCTGGAGATGTATCCCACGGATCTAGAATGTTTTACTATCTCAACACTAAGTAATAATAAAATACTTCTAGAGATAGCATGCCTAATCACAGCTTGGCTAGCGAAATACTTTGAGCAAAAGAAGACACAGCAGTCAACAGCAATACTAGAGTTATTTTTCAACATCTCGCTTGCTTGCATACTTTTCCATTTTCTTGAAAAAAAAAAAAAAAAAAAAAAACGAACAAAGATACCGGGTTGAGAAGCGCAAGAAAACTCTATCTGAAAGTAAAGTGGTTACCATAAAATTGATAGACTATGCAATTTATAATTTATAGTTGCCTGTTAGTTATGCCCCATGTTATTCTTATGCTTGCACTTGGTTGTTGACGCTACTAAATTTCTACTTTTCTAGTGGCCATAAGATATGTTTGGTTGTCATTGCCTCACGAATGCCATGATCAGTTGAACACGCATGTCCAAATAATATGGGTGAAAGAATTCACTGTCAGACACAGGCGTGCGGTGATTTTCGCGAAAGAGAACATACATAATTAGAAATAAAAAAAAAGTCTCAAAAAGAGCAGAAGGCAACAAAACAGAGTGTTTCTGAATTTGCACGTCATTAATAATTTTGAAATTGTTTAATAATATTCCAGTTTGGAATGGTCAGTATGCAAGTAATGCTTAATTTCTGGACTGCTGAAAATATACAGAGAAGGTTTGTGTTTTATGACTTTCCTCCCCTGCTGTAAATATGTTCAGAAAGACTTGGCGGACAAGCAGTCGAAATCACAGCACTGTGATTCTGAAAGCTGACCAGCACCTTGAACTAAGAAAGGTTCATGAGCTTCTAACGAGGGCTGTTACCAGGGACTTGCTCCTCTTACAGACAGTTTCTTCAGTTCTTTAAGTTTAAATTACTGGATGAATATATTTCACTTCGAATTCTTTCACATTCCACAGAAACATAACCAAACTGCTGATTGCGAGCCGCCTGCGGCTCTCCGACACCGTAACTACGGCTCGCGAGCTACTTGCTGCCCTTTGCTCTCTGAAATGCGACTTATTTGCGACAAATATATTTTTTTTTTTAAATATAATTGCTTTTTGAAATAAAAACCATGCAATGACACGCTTCTTTGTTAATCGCTAATTTAATTTCTTATATTATGTGTGTAATAATTTAATCGATTTCAAACTGCCCGCCGTAGAATTATCGTCAGTGTAAACAAACACAATTACAAAACATTCCATTTCTGTCAATTGCTAAAATGGCTTCTTACTTTTAGAGCAAATAATGGCAATAAAAAAAACGTAAAATGTAAAAATACGAGGTAATTTAAGAAGTGATCCTCTCTATTTTTTCTCTCAAGTTAATTTTATTTCAGACAGTTTCTGCTTACATTTCTTCTGTGTGATCTCCTTGCTTCACAACAGCTGTTATCCAATGCGTCGGAAGATTTGCTATTCCTTGTAGAATATTACATTTATTCAGTCTTGGAATGACTTCGGTAACTGAAGAAACCTCTTTCAAGGAGGAAAATTGCTGTCCAAATATGGTTCTTCCAATTTGAGAAGGAATTCGAAATCTAGGCATTTTAGGATTCGTAGAGTAAACTTTTCCGTTCTTACTTGGTCAGGAGACTTGCCCAATTCTCTCAAGTGCAGGTCTCCTTCAAAATTAATTCTGCATCCCTAAGCAAGACAAATAATTTTATGCAATTTCTTCATAAATTTAGTAAAATCTCACAGTAATATGTTGCAGTTAACAAATTTTTCTCGTGAAATTCTAATAATTCCTTGTTAAATCTAGAGAGAAATTATAATTTATTTCCTCAATGTTTGAGCATGTTAAAATTTTTTAGATCTCGGCGAGAACCACTTGTTTGACAACGATTTTAATTCTGCTCAAAGTTTTCAATTTACGTTTTGTCAATTGCTGTCATCTGAGATACAAATCTTTCAACTTCATCATCATATTGCATCAAGTAATGAAGGATCAACTGGATACAAATATCTCTCTTCCACAAAACTTTTGTCAAAATGTGGCATACCGATGCAGATGAAATCGCTTTAGCCTTGTGCTAGTTTCTCGTACGTTGCTTGATGAACTTCTTTCTTTCTATGTCGTCATAAATATCACACTAGGATAGAGGCGGTTTTTGCCATCTAAAAATTTTCACCCCTTAGTTGCGCTCAGTGATGCTGCACCGGTTACCGCGACTCAAGTACCTGCATAATACTTCTTTAATATATTGATAGTTTTCATCTTCTTAATCTTCGATCATCATGTGCATCTAACACGTCATTCAGGAAAGCTCTGTAGCCCAAGGGAATGTTGTAGTACTACGATCCACTGCCTGATCACTACCAATTTCAAACAATGTAATGTGAAATTTTGCTGAATTTACCCCTGTAAACTTTCAGTTAAGGCTTATCTTCCATTTCTACAATCATAGTATTCTCCCACGTGTACAGATTCGATTTCGAAAATTGATTTCAAACTCCAATTCGGACTTTTTCCTATACACAGGGTGTGTAACCATTAGGCTGAAGGTTAAATAAAAAACATTTTATTTCATTCTTTCCTATGAGTTATTTTACTTAGAAATTTAAGACAAAACGTCAATTGATGATCTTTATGGGTGTAACAATTAACAGTTTGAATGCGATGGATCCGTATATGTATATAGCAAGAACTCAGGAACTAAGCTATCGTATAGACGTCTACCATGTCTGTGCATGTCTATAGAAGTTTGAAGAATTAAACTATCATATTATATTTACATTTGTGAAACAAATTCATTACAGTAGTTACAGATACGTTTTCTTTTTGTACCATTAAATTTAATTTCCCTTGTATTTAAAATTACCTCAAAATTCAGCAGGTATGGCTGAGGAGTTCAACAGGCATACAGTTGAAATACATGGCCTACGAAATATTTATATATCGTGGCATGAACCGCTAGCATTTAGCTAGAATTTATTATCAATAAATCATCTATGCTCAGAATTATTGGAATAGTTTCTGGAATTTTCAACGATGTGCGGGTGTAATGATTACATAAAAATTCTGGTAGATTTTGCTGGATGCAACACTGAAATAATGTAACACTCAAAGCCATCAGGAGTGACACTGATGATTCAAATACCATCGTAATTGCGTTTAATTTTTAGTTAACGTTTTCTATACTGAGCATTAGTTAACTAGTCATTCCAAAGTTTGGGGTTAAAATGTTTAAAGATTTTTACGGTTAGGATTCAAAACTTTCGAGTGAAGGAAAAAGCTTTAAGATTCGATGTTTGGAATTTAAAATCTTTCCGAAAGTTTCAGAAGTTTGAGAATTCGAATGTCTGTAGAAGAATCAAAATGTAACTTGCATCTAATGAATTAATTCTTTCGCATCTAATGAATTAATTCAATTATTTAAGGGTAGATTTGGTCTCAGTATGTTGACACTCGTGAAAAAACAAAATTATTAATTTTTATGCAGAAGAATAAAAAAGTTGATAGCTTTTGATAGCTTTTTTTTTAAACAATTTTTCTTTCTCGAATAAAAGTTTCTTTGCCATGCGTATTGACTTGCATTACGTCACTTATTTTTCTAAAAGATTAATTAGTTAAGTTAAAAAAAACACTTAACTAATTAATCTTTTAGAAAAATAAGTGACGTAATGCAAGTCAAATGGGAAAAAAAAGTTAAAAAAACACTTTTTTTTAATAAATTATTTATAATTCACTCAAATGGGGAAGAAAAAAAAGATTTTAGCTTAGTTCTACTAAAATCAAACAACAATTATAAAAGGAGGAGGATAAAGGAAACAAAAAGAAAATGTTTGTTTTTTCTGTCTGAATGAAGAACGCTCAACTGTATAATACAGTAAGTTCAAATGTCTTTTTATTTTTGAAACGGTACAAATGTGGATTTGCGGCTCTTCGAACGTTCATGAAATGTACTATGCGGCTCCTGTCGTTATGAAGTTTACCCCCCCCCTGTACTATACTATTAGTGAACAACATACTTAACGGAGCATACAAGAACATATTAAAATTAGCCTATTCGTTAAAGCCCGACTTTGCCCGATTCGCGTAATGATGCTTTCCGGGAGATTTATTTCAATATTGTAAGAGTTAGATAACAGTTTAGTATAAAGTGTCACATCCAAAATGTTAAGGTACTAGCCTAGCCCCAACAGCCCATTGAAGGCAAGCTATACGCATTCTTTTATGGAGGTATAAGTTAAATTTCCGCTTTCTGGGTTTATAGCGTAAGGCGTCATCAAACAAGCTCAGCACTTCAAACACTGTAGAACACTTACAGTGAATATTTGCATTTTCTACCAAGATTTCTGGACTTAAATTTCTTTGAACGATCTTTACACATTTTAAGTTCCTTCCACAATCTCATTACAATCATTAAAATTTCGCTCTTCGAGCGAGTTCCTTTTCTTCATATCATTCTAGAAAACAACTCACATCAACCAGAGCTTCTGATGCAGCTCAGGTTGAATATTTATCCTATTTGATAATGTTATTCACCGAGTGTTTCACGGTGGTTACACAATATATAAAAGTCAATAAGCATGCTGTTCTTTTGTAATTCATAATTATGATACTTGTTATTAAACATCTTCCTCTTTTTACGTCCGTTTGAATTTTGTTTCTTATATATAATGATGAATTTTGATGTTTGTAGCGTAACTTTTATGAATTACTTTTTTATAATCAAAACTGCAGACAGATATAAAAGAGGAAACATTTATAGCAATATCATTAGTTTTAGAAGATATTTATATAAATATACCATCCCAGAAATAGTTTGTTTTGATCCTTGGTTTAGCATGAGAGCTTCAGTTGTAAGGTGACCTTCCACAGCTTCTTTCATTTGCTGAATTGTGCAATTAAGACCTTTGATCTCCGTGTACCAGTCGTCTTCGTACCAGCCAATGAGAAACCATACGTACTGCTTGCCGTAGACCTTTTGCTTGTATGCCTGAAAGCAAACATTTTAGTTTGTATTATGTAAATGCTTAGAATTCAAGAGAATTGCGGTAATGTCGTATTTTATACTAACACAGGATTGTTAATTTTGGAGGGTATTTTTTCACAAGTGTTTTAGGTATGTGTTTAGGTTAGTTGATATAAGCATACTGTAGATATATTCCAAATGAAATACAACAGCAATAAATTTTAGAATGAAGTTTTTTCTCAACAGAATAAATGAAAAAAGTATATCGTACGCAGCAATATGAGATACAAAGTCTGCCAATCCTTACATTATAAGCTATTGGCAAATTTCTACCACATTTATTCTAATGATTTAGTTACAAAGAAGCGTCACCTGTTAAAAATTTTTTAAAATATTTCTCTGTCATTTGTTTTCATAGAAAAACAGGTTTAGTGGACTTTGATAAAACAAATTTTGCTTCATAAACATTTATTTCGGTTTTTTTTTTTTTTTTTTAAATATTCATGAGTCAACATAATATATTTCTTTTGGATAACTAGCGAAAATGGAAAATAAATAAAATTTTACAATGAATTTGGAAGAATAAAACTATATCTCATTCAAGTAAAGATAATATATTTTACCTCACAAAGCACTTTCCTTGCAGCTGCACCATAAAACATGCCCACAATAATTCTTGCATCTTGCCTCTGAAAAAAAGTATATAAAATTATTTATTAGTTTCAATACAATACTTCTTATTAAACCTAAAGAGAAAAAAAATTAATTGTAAACATAGTGAAATACACTGGTGTGCAAAAATTAAGGAAGAGACGGTTTTTTCAATATAACTTTGTACAAAAGCTTTCCAAATCAACACATTTAATACCGTAAGATCCCCAATACGTAAGGACATGAGTAATGTAAGCAACACTTACTAAAAGAGAAATCAGAGGGATAAAAAGAAGCTTTATTGAAAAAGTAGCATGGAGCGCAATGCGACTGAAGGCCGAAACATCCTTGTGATGGGTATCCAGCAAGAAACATCCGGTCTTTAATAGGGGATATGATCTCCCCTGACTGCTAGGCAGGTTTCACAGCGTCTGCCCATGCTGAGAATGAGGGTGTCAATGAGTTGTTGAGGCATTGCTGCCATTCGTCTTGCAGCGCCAATCGAAGCTCCGGAATCGTTACTGGTGGTAAGTTACGAGCTGCCAGCGTCTGCCTAGAAAATCCCATACATGCTCGATGGGATTGAGATCCAGGAGATCGTGCCGGCCAATCCATACGTTCAATATCCTCACTCTCTAAGAGCTGTTCGGCAGCTACTACTGTGCGATGACATGGTGCATTGTCGTCCATGAAAAGGAACTGCGGACCCATAGCGCCTCTAAAAAGACGCACATATGGAAGAAGAATCTCGTTACAATAACGGGTCCCGTTGACTGAAACTGCGTCGAAGATGTGAAGGTCTGTACGACTACCAAGCATGATGCCTCCCCAAAAACAAGAACACCGCCACCTCCATACCTGTCGCTTTTCAATGATGTTCGAGGGATGATTGCGGCTTCCCCGCTCTCTCCAGATGAGTATGCGATGAGAATTGCTACTCAGACTGAATCTGCTCTCATCTGTAAAGAGTACTCGTCCCCATTCATTGTCTCTCCAATTCCGGTGTTCCCGGCACCACAGAGAACGCCTTCTCCGATGGGCAGGCGTTAGAGGTACACACCGTACAGGGCGTCGTGCAAACAGACCACCACCGTGCAGTCTTCTGGCCACGGTAAAACGCGATATCGGTCGTCCAGTCGCCTGTGTCGTGTGTCTAGCGATTTCTCCCGCTGTCTGCCGCCTGTTTCTTCTGGCCTGTAAGGCAATATACCGGCCATCTGCGGGTGTGGTTCCTCGTGGACGACCACTACTAAACCCCCCTCCCCCCGGATAGCAGTTCCTGTAGTTTGAAATTGTCTCCAAAGTCGTGAAACGATGCTGTGAGCAATTCCGAACTCTGCAGCCACACTTGTCACACTGCGGCCTTCCTCCAACTTCCCAATGATTCGACCTCGGGTAAAAGCATCCAGATGTCGTCTAACAGATTGATTATTCGCCATTTCTCGCTGAGGCAGCAACTCGGTGTAATTTTAACTGCTATACGGCGTGCAATCTCTTTGCCAGAAATACTGATCTTACACCGACAACATGCTTTATACTACTCAGACACTCCCCATTACGTCTACCTGCATATCTGCGCATGTGCTACCGTACATCACCTTACTTAATTTTCTGATTGGTCTTTCTCTCCGCTCTGCCTCTTCGTTCAGCTGATATGCTAATTTTTCGACTTCGTCCTCAATTTTTGCACACCAGTGTATTTGGTGGCCACTATTTCCTACAAGACGTGGACGGGAGACAAGAATTTCGGCAGAGGTTTACAAGTATAAGTCTCACCCCACTTAACCGCCGAAACGGAATAACAGTTAGTGTCAATGACTGCAATGCCAAAGCGCTCGAACAGGCATGGATATGTGTAAGAATAGTATCTGTCAGGTAGAGGTGGGCAAAATGTAATTACAATTTCAATTACAATTGTAATTACAGTTGGACATGCAACTGCAATTAGATTGTATAACCTAATTACAATTACATAGTAATTGTGAAATCTAATTACAGTTACAAATGTAATTGTATATCCACTGTAATTGTAATAAAAAAGTAGAATCTAATTACTATTACAATTCTATAATCTAATTAAAGTTACAATGTGATAGTGATTGTAATTGAAATTAAAGTGTAATTTTAATTGTAATTGCAGTAGATAATTACAATTACATAATTAGGAAAGTAACTGCTCCTGATAATTTCAGTTACTTCGCTTGAGGAAAGCGTGATCATAACTGAAAATTACAGTAATTGACAACTGACAGTATATCCGAAATTATTCACCAATTTGGATAACTATTTGTTAAGTAAAGGGATAATCGTATATAAAAAAATATCATGTTCCATCCTGGAATCATCCTGCTTCATTTTTGCATTACACCAGCTTGTAGTAGCAACGTAAATTATTAACTAATCATCTGTTAAATACTACATATATTTTCAGTAAATATGTAAAAGAAATATAGTTGAAAACGGAATGCATTTACAGGAACTAATTTCGACTGTTTTATATAGAACTAAATACGCATAACTTAAACAAATATGCGTGTTTATAATGCTCACCGACTGATATGCGGATTTGAATTATTTGAAAAGGAAAACAAACAAAGACTGTATGCCTATAGAAAGGGATGCCTTTTGAAGGTTTGTTAAGGAAATTGGGCCTTTTTTTTTTATTAGGCAGGAAATAAATGACAAAGTTTTATTTAGTCTTTCCGGTTTGAATTCTGGTAGAAACATGATTCTGATCCTTAATAATGCTATGATTAATTGCTATTTGTACCAAAATTTTGAGTAACGCTATTGATTGCAAATTAGTTTACGAGTTTTTCAATAAATGGCTAAAACCCATTATTTACTTCCTATACGATCTATTTTCCAGAGTTTCAGGTAAAAATAAACAAGCATAATTTTCACGTGACTTATGTATAGCTTTTATAAATAAACAATGCAGATGACATGAAAAATCACGTGACTTATGTACAGCTAATGTAAACAAGCAAGGCCATTCTTCCTCTTCTTCTCCTGCGGAATGCATCTCATTATTGAGTGAAGGCCAACTTCCAGTAATGATATGTACTATGCAGCAAGTCTTTATTCAGTATGAAACATATTGCAATAAATAATTAAAGTTAAATTTTGCTGCAAGCGAATTGCTTAGGCAGGAAATATTTCCGATAAAAATAAATAGGTGTACAATGGTTAACAAAAGATGAGTTGATAGCTTCTTTAATTAAGCGACGTAAAGCATATACGAGTAAGAATATCTTCGTGGAGGATTCTCTAAAGGTTTGTATTCATGGAAATAAAGTCACGAAGATACCCAAACACATTGTTAGCCGGAATTCGAACCTGTATCGATCTACCATCATTAAAAATAAATGTTAATTATTCGATTACTGCTAAGCCAAATATTTAATTCTTTTACAGTTATATTGTAATTCTAAATGCCATTATGTTATAACTGCAAGTATAGTTGCATTAATTATAGTTTTAACTAAAATGTAATTACAGTGAAGCACCAATTTTGTTCAGTCAACAAAAGTTAGCTTTAGAGATATAGTATGCAGATCTTATACTTTGAAGAATACAATTTCTCAGAATACTGTCATTCGACAGTATTCTGAGATGATGCGACATGCAAGGGTACACGAAAGCTTAATTAAGATTTTATATTTTGTGCACTGACAGCACTTGCCGAAACCTGCTTCTAGATTATTTACGTTCATTTCGTTCATCAGTTTCAGAGGCATGATCGTGTCTGCAAATTTGTTTTCCAAGGATAATATTTTATATCATAAGTAAAAATAATGCACCTCCCTCAGGGTAGTAAATCGCAAGCGCTAGTAAATTTAATTGTAATTACATTCTAATTCTGGTTTATGTACTACATATAGAGTACAATTATAACTTCAGCTATAATTTTATTGTTATTGTAATTGTAATTATAAATCGTGAAATTACAATTACATCGTAATTGGATATTGTAACTATACGATTTATAATACAAATGCATTGTGAATGAATGGACTGTAATGGCAATTGCATTGTAATTGCCCGATTTATAATTACAATTGCATTGAAATTGAACGATTTTAAATTACAACTACAATGTAATTGTTTTAATTGTAACTGCAATTAATTACATTGTAATTACAAATATATGTAATTGTGATTACAATGTAATTTGAATTAATTATGTTTGCGATTACATTGTAGTTCAATTATAAATCAATTACATTGTAACTTAATTATGCCCAACTCTGCTGTGCGGCAAGAAGACACTCAAAATGTATGGTAAGCTGAAATGCTTTAGAGAGGTTGCTGGTGATGGGGGTGGTGGGTAAGAGGGGTGTTAGATCTTCGTGCCAGCCCCGGGGTGCTCTCCCTTCGAATTCCATCTGTGACGGAACCTTAACCGTTTTCAAGGCCCGGCGATATCTAATATGCAAAAATGGATATTCAGGTGCCATCCTTGCTTCAACCAGCACTTGTACAGTTCCTTCGTCGACCAGCCGATACAGTGGTTAGTGAAGCAGACTGCCGTACCGATGGGATTGGGTTCAAATGCCGGAGAAAACTTAGATGTTTGTGAGCATATAATGTGTCTGCGGCAAGGGAGCACTCAAACTACATGGCGAGCTGAAAATCCTCTCGAGGGGTCGTAGGTGAAGAGGGATCATTCTCTTGTCGCTATATAGTTTTCGTTTTACGTGCTTCGAAAAATTATTTAAGAATTTTGAAGCTTTTGGATTTTAGTTACGTTTCTGCTGAAAGTAAACTATACAAATATATTATTAAAAAAATCGTGCACAGATGACTTTACTTTTATTATTTTGCCAAGGAAATGTAATATATTTTAGATGCATTCTGATTTTACTATTTATCTTTGTAGAACAGCTGATGGTCTTAATTATATTCATTATTTTTAACATAAAAAAAAAAAAAATTCCGGTATATTTGTATCGTATAAAAATTATCTTTGCGTGAAAATTTTCACTCCCTCTGGTTTTCAAAAAAAAAAAAAAAAAAAAATCTCAATTTTTAGGTTTGGTAGTTTAGCAGCTGTGCTATTATTACGAACTAAATGATTATTTTACACCTAAATACGTAACATACTGCATTAGAAATTTCTTTACTGATTTTAAAGTGAAAAAATGTTTGGCAAAATAGTCATTTGGATATAGAATTACATGACTTTAATATAAAAATTACAAATATTGGTTGCAACAAATCATATCAAATAGATTTATTATTAAAAAAGTGAACCAAGAATATAAACTGCAAAAAACTAAGCATTTATTGCTTTTAAATCATGATTTTTTAAACAGCTATGGTTATAACTCGGAAGAAAAATAACCTACGGCTTTTTATTTAAATTTAAAAGTATGAATATATAAAAGATTTAATGTCACGTCGACTGGCATTATATTGAGCCCCAGCAATTCACTCCAAAGATTTTATGCTTTTTGGAATGTCAACATTTACTAAGGCGTATGCATCATAAATTCCCTGATAGTGTAAAGTAATGGCCCCCAAATCAGACAGTGCTGTAGACATTTCTATTGTCAAAAATATTTATAAGAACTATTATGGTAATCATACCACTAAATTCCTGACAGCATCCGTTGGATCAGTGAGGAAACTCTGACGAGTTACTATTTCTATTCCAGCTTCTTTGCACCTCGCTTCCAAGTCTTCTCCAGTCTGAAATAGAAAACAAAGTAATTAAGAAAGTAGAATTTTTGTAAATTTCTAAAAGCTATTTTCATAATATAAATAAGCAGAAGACTTCAAGTAAGTTTAAATTTCATAAATTTCCACCACTTTTAGATTTTTCTAACAAAGCTCAAACAAGTATTAAACTAAACATTACTCCGTAAAAGCTTAGTTTTAGTTTAAAATAAAAACTCCAAATGATATAAAAGTAAGCATTATTATGAACCCACAATGTCTGATTTTTGCGTAATGGTTTAGTTACTGTTTTCTTAGAAACTACTATTATGTAAATTGTGTGCTCCAAGTACAATCGGCTTCCAATTGACCGAAGACGTAATACGGATGATGACGTTCATGTTTAATTCAAAGGAATTAAAAAACACAAAAATGAAAAATAATCAACAGAAAAATGTTATTAACAATTTACCTGTATTTTCAAGTGATTTAATCTGTAAAATAAGCTCTTGAGTTACGTAATTAAATCAATATTCAAAACAAAAAGAACGCATTGTAAATAGTAGAAGAATAATTGTCATTCAAAATGAAAAAGTTAAAGAATAAACGCCATTAGAAATGAAAAAAATAAGTCTCAAACGGCATTAAAGATAAATATTTGCAACCGAATTTGAATAATGTCATTGAGTTTAAACTGAGCAAAACAGAATGAAAAAAAAAAATTGATTAGAATTTTTTATTTTTTGGTAATTCATCCGGCAGATATCCTCTACCAGAATCCTACTGTTATTCCACATATTTTCCTTTCTGTAGTTTTCTAGACAATTTTGTTTTATGCTGATGATATATGATACCAAATTTTCCATCATTTCCAACAAACTAACTTAGTTTCTTTTAAATAAAGCTCAACTAATTCTACACCCGGTTAATACGTCTCCGGTTAATCGGGAACTGACAGAGAGTAATTTGCAACAGGAGATAAAGAATTGGTTATGGGTAACATTTGAAACTTGAAAATAAACAGTGCAATGTAAAAGGCCATAAAACGAAAGTTAGTTCTTCTTCCAGTTGCAATATAATGCAAAGATATTTTTATATCAAACAAACACGCTTTTTTTTTTTTTTTTTTTTTTTTTTTTAGTTTCAAAACCAAAAAATATTTAAAAATCAAACCAATGTTTCGCTTCTGTTCTTAAAAAGAAATAATATTTACCGCTGCAATTCCTAATACTAACTTTATTGTTGAAAAAGTTTTGAATTCAAAAAGAATTTCAATTTCGAAATAGCTTGTTTCGTAGTTCTTCCATGATAAAGGATTATTTTATACTAAATGCAAAATAACTTCATTCTTTTTTATTCACCTTATACGTACGGAAAAACGGAGCGCAAGGATGAAGGTGTACATTATTTTATTTATAATGTAAATAATGTATATTTTTAAGAAGAAAAATTAATTAAGCGGAAGAAAGAAACTTACTGATATAAAGACTTCTTCCGCTTCTTGAATGATTGCAATTCTGGACCATTTGAATTTCTGGAAAAGTTTAATCCTGGTGGGGTTGTGGATTGTGGCCGAGGGGTGGGTACGGAAAAAGGTAGGAAATCTCTTCCGATTGGATAAGGCAGGAGAACTGGAACCATAAGAAACCTGAAACGAATAATATAGCCAAATTTTGCTTTCGTATACATTCAGAAACCAGAAATTATTTATTAAGAAAAAATAAAATGATTTCGACATTAAAAAAATCTGATGTGTACACAACATGACTTCCTTGCACGGAATATTAAACTATACGCATTTTTTCTTGCATTTCATTTAAACTTATCGGACTGAATTAAATCTACTTCGTCGATAGTGCATATACCACAATAGAATAAATGCACTTTTTAAAATTCACCATATTAGTTTACCATAGCGACACTCTGGCGCTAGGTTCACTTAACAGAGTTATATTTCGTCCATATTATAACTCAGAATGCATATAAATTTATATAATTTGAAGACTTATCTAATCGTTGCCACATGTCTTACAAACAGTTTTTCACAGACGGTTCAGTATTTCTCATTCAATTAATTCAGTTCTCACCGACAAGGCAAAAATACATAAAAATTCAAAATATCTATACTAAAAATTATGAAGTAAATCTGAAACACTTATTTACTCGAATAAATTCCAGAATGGATTAAGCATGATTTAATTCGCAATAATAAAAGGCGTTATCTTTATTACTGCGAAGCTTAGTTTCTCTAGATTGGCAACAAATCCCCTATTTTGCCAAGTTTAAATTGTAAACAAACATATCCGCCATCGCAAAATTCATTAGGCTTAGCTGCACTTAAACAACTTTTAAATTGTTGATAACTCCACAAATATTGCATGCACATTTACTAATGGCATAAAAACCTTAACCGGAAGATAAGAACAACATAATTCAATCATTTTTAAAGCAAAAAATGCTCAACTTACAAACATATAAGAATAGAGAAACTGAGCTCACTGAGCCGTTAGGGAGAGGAACTAGGCGTATAGTGGTGACAGTTGGCTTTAGGCTCCAAGGAATTATTGCATCCCTAGCAATAATTTTATAATCATATTTCTATAGCAAAAGCTCCTTTTTCTCATTATATAATTTTTTTTTTCGCATACATACCAGAAATGATCCATTAAGGAAAAATAAGATGATTTTGACATTAAAAAAATACTGTTTCTTAAGTGAAAAATATCATTTTGAATTACCCAGTTAGGGAGAGGCATTAGGCATACAGATGAGAACAGCTGGCTTTAGGCTTCAAGGAATTATTACAGCTTTATCAATAATTCTATAATCTATTTATATAGCTGAAGTCCTTTTTTCTCATTATTAAAGCAACGGAACCTGATGAAAATGGTTCTTTTTCGTTATCAGTATTTTCGTTAGTCAGTGACGAATATTAATCATATTGCATTAAAATAACTTATTCTTTAATAATTAAAGACTGGCTATTAAATATAATAGTTCCGTCTCCAAAATATTTTCAATTTATTTTCAGCTTTAATCGAAAAAATCGATGGCGCAAGACAAATAATCGTTCGGTAATATTAATTAGTATTAAATATCGATGTTTATGCTGCAAAAATATTACAAAAGCATTCGATAACGCATGTCATAATGATATCTCTTATAAAGTTTTCCCAGATATACTTCGGTATTGATCTAAATGATACATAATTACTTTCAAAACTAAAACTTCGCATTGCAAATAACTTTACTATGATAAAAATACGGAGTCCCATACAGGTCTATTCTTGGGCTTACCTTATTCAACATATTTAAAAACAACATATCAAATAAACTAACATCATGTGTTACTAAATACGCGGATGACGCAGTATACCATGACAATGTTAAACCTACAGCATACATTTAATTAACTGCAAAATGGCATTAATACATTTTGATACAGTGTTCCCTGGAAAACTGGAAATTTAAAATTAATCCTATAAAGTGAATTAATCTTTTTCAAAGTATACAAATTTTACATCAATGCTGATAACCAAACAAATTATCAACCATGAAATATTACAAGTCGAGACAAAGCTAGACATTTTGGAATAAAAATTAACAGTAAACTTACTTTCTAACCTCACGTTGACGAAAGTTTTCAAAAAAAATGAATATTTCCTCCATTATGAACAGATAATTAAAATCATTGATTAAAGCAGTAATTTTACTTAACTACTATATTAAAACCAATCTTGTATTAGAAATAAATCTGTAATTAATACAACATAAACCTATTCCTACAAGTGATCAGTCTTATGAGGAAAAATATCAAATCATTGAAAATGAAAATTTTAGGTAAACTAGACACGCTCAGTAGTTTCCGAGAAATTTATATAATAAGTGCTACTAACAGAGCTGGCAGGAAACTAACACGTAGCGTGCACGAGATGCCAGAAACACTCTCTGTCTTAAAATCCCAAAACCTAGGTTTAAATGCTGGCTACTCATTTACCTTCTAGTGAGGAATACAGAAAGGAGAAATCATAGTAAAGGCTGAAATTATTAATTGTTAATTAAAAATTCGTTAAAGTGTTACAAAATATGAAATCGATAATGAAACAAATTACAAATTAGGGCTTCAGAATGCCCATATTTGGTGGAGGAATACGTTATTCAAAATCTGATGGCTCCGCTGTTTTATCACAACGTGAGAAACACACATACATTTATACAGATTTTTCATTGTTTAATTTTCTGAAATATAACACAGGGCAATAATTTGAAAAGTGAAACGGACATTTAAAGTTTTCAGCGCAAAATACCAAAACAAAATTAATAGCCCTTCTAGGCTAATGCCCTTTGGGCTAATAAGGGTTAATTAGCATAAAATTTCTTATACCTTATTTGTATGTTAAATACCCAGTTTCATATAGGTTTTGCTATAACCCGCGGTAAGTCTTTTGAACAAATTATCCGCAAATGGGAAGTTACTTCTCTATTGTCTATAAAGCAGAAATTGAAGTAATAATTGATGGCATAGTAGCTTATTTCAATACTTATGTATTCAATACTTAATTATTCAATACTTATTTATTCAATTCGTTGCTCTAATCTTCATTAGAGCAACGAATTAGACTTTTATAATGTCATCAAGAATTTTTCAACCTGGAAAACAAGCAATATAATAATAAATTTATAAAAGGTTGGAAATTAGTGTTTTCCTTCAAAAATAAATATAAAATTTCAATTGATATTCTTATATAATGTTTTAACATTTTGCAGCTTTTTGTTGCTTATTAAGAAGATGATGAATTCAACTAGTTTTCAGAGCGGCGAACGCTTTGGTTACGAATGTGCAGCTATATCTCATCGTATTCAGTAATTTAAATTATATTTACTAATTCTTTAAAGAATTAATCTGTTGATTTTTAACTTGTATGTAAACCTTATTATGAAGTTTGTGGGAATAATTAAAGCACATAAATAAACAACTTACAACAACAAGATTCCACATCTTGGCGGCTTCTGCGATGGTAGAGCAAACGATAGAGCATCCTCCAAGCAGCATCAGTTTCTGAGGAGGGTTATACAGCAAATCATACATAACACTAGCGCCCAAGCCAGGATTGCACTGTAATAAAATTATTAAGGCAATTAATCTTAATTCGTTGCTGAGCTTGTTATAATAATTAATAAAGCTGTATTAAATAATTTGAGCTTTTTATAATACAAATTAATTGTTGCCTTCTTAATTAAATAAGAACTAATTAAAATTTTAAGCCAATTTACCATGAGGTAGGCCCATAACATCGTTAATAATACAGACCAGAAGCAAAGTGTCTTAAAAAGAATCTCAGATACGTACTTGGTCCTCTGCGACATGTTCTGTCTGTACATGTCCTCTGCGACAATATTTTTTAATATTTTTGAATTTTTTTCAATGGCAGCACTAATAAATAAAACGTTGCAGAGTTAGCTTTTTTTAATCACTTAAAAGAGATGCTACTGTTACGTGTTTACTGTGTTAATAAACGTTACAGATACTGTTAGAAGTCAACGAGATATAAGATCATTAATTTATTTTCTATGTTATAAAACTGCGTTGCGGCAAGCAGCATTAAGCATTTAAAACTTCTTTTAATCTGATATTCTTATCTACGTTTTGAAAAAAATGTTATAAACAATATAGGTTTCTGACAACTTAATGACTTGACTTCTCCATTCTCGAGTGGGTAATATGCGCGTCTGGCTGCCATTCTTGGATGTGGTAGCCGTTTCTCAGGCTCCCTGTCTGGGATCGAACCCTGATTCCCTGTCACCAGTTACGAGACCTGATGACTCTTCTAACAATTTCAGGATTAACATTTAGTACTGCAAGTCGTTCTTCTAACTTCTTTGCAAGCTTTACAGCACTAATTTTTGGGCTTTGTTTGATTTTTCATACGATAAATCTCCGTTCCTTCATATTAGCTACATTTGTGGTCCAGATTTCAGTGAATTTTGAATAGTTCCACGCTATTACCATTCAAACTATGGTAATCGAGTGGAACTATTCAAAGTTCATCAAAGATAGTTGAAAATACATCAAAGATAGTTGAACGCTTTGTATTCAGGATTTTTTAAATATTTTGAATACTTTTATCATCTTTAAAATCGTAACCACTAGTTAAATTTCAAACAGAGCTTACCACTAATTTGTATCATTTTACCATATTCACTTTAGATTGCTAATATATTTTACTAAATAAGTAATAATTTCCAAATTCAGACGATAATATTTTAGAAGTACTTTAATTTTTTTTTTAAAAATTACATTAAACATCGTCTTTTGAAATATCTGACGAAACTTGCGAGAGTCCGAATTATTTATTATGTGAGTTACTGATTAACATTTTCGTGATAAATTATTTTATTGCAAAGAAAATTTTGATGATATTTACTTTAAAACAGAGGAAAAAAAATCTGGTGTGGCCAGAACATGACTGCCATGTTATGTATGCCAATTCCATGTTATGACATTGAATTTTCAGTATAGCAATGAGCTTTGAGCCAACTATCACTTCCGGTTCACTGTTTGTAAATAAAATCTAATTTATTCGTAAACTTTATGGCTTAATTTATGGACACTACTTATTTTTTGTTATTCTTTTTTCACATACAATGGATAATGATCACTATAAGTTCTGGTGTACACATCAGTTGTCATGCTTTAATTTAAAAATAACACATCGATCATGGTATATCCCACTGATCATATATTCACAATCCTGTCAGTCCCAAAAGTTTTAAAAGCCACATATCTTTAGAATTTTCGATACAACATTAAGTGTTGCCATACATTTCTTTTTCTGTTCGCTGTGTTATTTAAATTTGCTACATTATCTCTTTCAAAATAATTCATAGTGATATTTAGTGGCAGCATCCTTTTATTCGAGTGAAACTCACACAGAATTGAGGAATGAGACCAATACATTTAGTTACTTCATAACGAGGGTTCTTCTTCTCTCTTCTTTGCGTTTAGCGTTAAATCTAGAAATACATTTAATGCTTATAAATTATATATCTTGTTCTCAATCACATATCAATTTCAAATACCAAATTACAGAAGTTTTGGATCACCTCATATCTTCTTCTTCTTCTTCTTCTTCTTCTTTTTTTTTTTTTTTTTTTAAGAAAAACTGTTTAGAGCTTCAAGTAAAATATCACTTCCAATTTATAAATTTTAGCCAATATCTATTATGTTGTTCCCATTGATATAAAAGTCAATGAATGCGAAAAGCATAAATAAGGAAAATGAAACTTTTTGGAATCCTGATGTAAGAACTATCGTGGATGATAAACTCGTCAGACACACACAAGTAGATATCATTGTAAAAATAGTAAAATCGTGTTGTAAGGGCCTTAAACCGGTCTTACTCACTGAAAATTTACTATGTAATTTTTGGACCGAAACCATCACCTTCATTACCATCAAGTTCACGCGTGTTTCTTAGGCTCAAATGCGCTAGTTATACACAAGCCTTTAAGGCTTTAAGTAAAGTACCACTTCTGGTAGTCCAACTTTGATCAAAATCTAATCAACTCTTTGTATGAATGCAGAAAGCTTAATTACGGAAAATGAAACTTTTTGGAAGTATGATATAGGAGTTATCATGGACGAAAAAATCGTCACATACATACAAACACACAGACAGGCATTTTTATAAAAATAGTCAAAATGTGTTGTGAGGACACTAATTCGTGTTTATTCACTGAAAATTTACTATCGAATTTTTGGACCTCCTATTTGCGTAGAGTGGAGGAAGGTTGTCTACGCATATAGGAATTTTTTAAGAAAACAATTGAGGTCTTTATTTCAGTATTTAAATTTATTGAAGTAAACTTCAAAAATTACTTAATGTGTAAGTGTCCGAAAACAAACGAGAGGCCTTGTTGATTGCAAACCTTTATTCCACTTTACAATTTTTTTTCAAACGGTAATATATTCTATTAATACTTTTATATTTTTTATTTATGCCACTTTAAATTCCAAAAAGAAATCTTAATGATAACAAAAAACACAGAAGTTTTTAAAATCTTAGATTCTTTTTACATTTATTTAGAAGTAAAGATTTACTTCTAAATAAATATGATTTGAGAAGATCTGATTTTCATTTAAAAACAGATGCTAAATATTTGTGTGATTTTTAATATTTTAAAATTCTTTATTACTGTTTTAAAAATGTTTAGTGCTATTTTTAATTGGGGTGTTTTAAAGCTGAAGAGACATTAGGTATTTGGAAGCTGGAGAGATGAAAAACGTGCAAAGCCCTCGCCGAGACTCGAACCACGGACCTCCCAAATACGCGTCGAGCGTGCTGACCACTACACCACGAAGGCATGCTAAGAAGGCGGGAGAAATACTTTATTATCCTCCCCCTTTTAAAGGGCGACTGGGGTCCCCTAAAACCCCCAGTCGCCCTTTAAAAGGGACCAGTCGCCAAATCCTAGTGGTGAAGAATCATCATTCACCGCCTTTTAGTTCGGACGCCACTTTCTTTCCACCGACAGCGAGGCAGCCGGTCCACTGGGTAGTTAGCATATCGGCCAGGTAGCCCCGCTGACGGAAATAACTTGAACAAAAGACACACTTATAAATACATATTGTGCTCAAGACGACTGCTGGGGGCAGTGCAAACAAATGCTGGACGAAGACGATAGTGCATGATGGAAGAAGGGCGCATTGCGGGCGTGAAGAACAATTCTAGTTACATATTTACAGAGTAATGGATAGGTGGTTACAAATACTAAAAGTAATAAGAAGTAAAATACTAGAAAGTAAAACAATGCATAAAATAAAAAAAAAAAAGGCAAAACAGTGGAAACAATACATAAACTAAGGCAAAATACATAGTTTCAAAGGTTCATAATTCAAGGTTTACAGTTCAAGAAGATAAATATATACAGGGAATAAGAAAAGCCGAAAAGCCTAATTTAAGATAAAATTAGTTCGCTACAGGTACAGAGCATACAGGGGCTGTGCTGGTGACGAGATGGTGGCTGAGAATTACTCCAGCCTGTCTGAGATTATGCGTGCAATGTTTATGCAATCGCATATGCGTTTCAATGCATTGCGATTTTTTGAAGTAGCTTCGGCCCATGCATGGATGTGGTTTGCTACTGGTTGCCTAAGATGATATTTAGCGGTCTCTCGCAAGCGAACGATAGTGGTCCGGATCTCCTACCATCCCGCATGAGCATGCTCGTTTTCGCGTTGTCTGAAGCGATGCAGGTAAGTCATGAAGGGACCATGTCCTGTTAGATACTGAGTGAAGTGAGACGAGCCAGATTTTAGAAGCCGGCAGACTTTTGGAAAAATCTGTAAACTCTTCTTCTGCCGGTGGTTTCTGTCTCCCACAGATGTTTGCCAACGTTTGAGTAATTCTCTCTCGAGCTCAGCTTTTAAGAACGAACCCGGGAGAGGCACGTCAAGTGTGCGAACGTGGGGGTCAGTTGCTGCTCTTTTGGCTATTGCATCTGCAATTTCATTACCCAGTATTCCAGTGTGGGCAGGTACCCACTGGAGTTCAGGCCTATAGTATTTAGGTGTTCTTAGTAAGAGTATTTGTATGGCCCTGACGAGTGGATTTTTACTACATTTGCCTTGGATTGCCTGGAGGCTAGAGGCTGAGTCTGAATATATACTGGAATAGTTATTTTCCAGTGCGTAGACAAGTGCAGCTTTTAATGCAATTAGTTCAGCCTGAAAAACTGAGTTGTGGTGGTTAAGCTTTCTGTAGAGACATTAGGATTTCTTTCGGAACCAGGAGAGATGAAAAATGAGCAATGCCCTCGCCGGGACTCGAACTCTCAAATACGCGCCGAGCGTGCTGACCACACCACAAAAGCATGCTAAGAAGGCGAAAGAAATACCTCATAATATTAAAAATGTTAAATGATAAACTCTTGTTGAAGTGTTACACTGTAACTTGGAATTTTCAGAAGGGATGTTCCCTCCCCCCTACCAACCTTTCATCCAAGAGATCATCATCAGTGCTGGTTGCTTGATATTATTGATGAAGATTGTAAGCTGAAATCAAGTTGAGTATATTGCATACAACTCTTTTTTTTCTTTAATGTGCATAGGCGTTTACGAGTACAATCGAGGAATTTTATATGCACAAATTAGAGCTTAAAATTCTAAAACAAAAATTCAATCTTAGATTGACACTGCGTTTACAACAAAGTTGTATTTTTTTCCAGGGAAGGTAACACTGATTCTTCCTCTACGAGAAACAAATATATTTGAAAAATATTCATATTTTCCCAGAACATATTCGCTCATTTAGGAATAGGATTCTCTTCGGACTCCCTTATATGTTTACAACTTTATTATAAAATTTAATACTGAATTTAGCTTACTGAATTTGAATTTAACAGGCTTAATACTGAATTTAGCTTAATTTTTAACTATAAATTAGCGGGCTTCTTTACCACTTGTTAAAGGAAGGGCGTAATGATAATACAGTAATATAACTTATTCAATTAATAATATTCAGCTTAATCTTTCAAAGAAAATATTATTTTATGTAATATTGCAAAGCAAATATTATTTGCACACAGATTTTACTAAATAGTAGGACGCAACATTTCATCTTTAAAATGATTCAAATATAAAATGAATTATCTATCTAATAACAAAACCGTCAACAGAGAAATGCTGTAAAATGCATTTTATCGGTAATTTCGCATTTAACTGACAGCTGGAATTTTTTTATGTGTGATTAATACTGTAGTATAATAACGAATATGAATACCTTTATAGTTACACGTAAGAGTAAGGAGATAGATATTTGCTGGCATGTTATCATGAATGGTTCTATGAAAATGACAGGTATCAACTAATCTTTTTATCTTACCTGACTGTCATAATAAGGCATTTTCATGCTGTATCCAGGTAACAAATCCGGCCTTGCATTCACATCGTCGAGCGCCATGAGTGCCGCTGGTAGGCACCCTTGACCGCCGAGCCATCCACCGGTGCCGTTAATGGGAAATATTGCACCGATGTATAAATCTTTCTCTTGCACTTTCGGATGCGACGGCACCGGCGGTTCTTTGGGAAACGCAGGTGGCACCGCATTTTCAGATGGTACTAGAAGCACGAGCAGCACACCTAAATGCACACCACCCACCATCTCGTGCCACTTCGATTCTATTAATTAAGGCTACATTGTTCTATCGGGTGTAGGTCACGCACCCGACATTAAATGATGGCTCATTCCTCCGGATGAAAAGCGAGGTTGCCGTAATTTCCAATTCACGCCAAGGCATGTCTCATGATCTCGCCAAATGGGAGACCGATGGGAAATTCATTGAGGTATGCTGATTAAACTTCTAAAATTAGAATATCGGAGTCTTACTCAAGACTGTCAGAAACGGTAAACAAAAATAAATAAATAAAACAATAATAAAACACGAAATAACGAATAATTAAAATTAAATAAAATGTAGGGGGACAAAAATATTAAAAAATTAAATTAACAACAAGGTAAATAATTAATTAAAATATAATACAAATTAGTTTAAATAATGAGAAAAATTAAAATGAGTTATATAATAATAAATTAAAAACTAAATAAAAACACAATTAAAAAATCAAAGGTGAGTATATTAACAGTTATAAGGCATGATACCGAGGATAAAAGTAAAGTAAGTATTTTTAATAGCATTATTAGGTAAAACTGCATCTTTATTTCGGTAAATTAAAGTAAAATATTTTACAGTTAAGTGAAGCAATAAAGCATATGAAAGGTGAGTAAATCAATAAGCCAAGAACATGGTCCGAGGGTATTTTACGAGAAATGTTTACGATCAGAAAAAATAGCACCTTTATTTTGGCATGAAATGTAACTAGAGACCTTCTTGACTGGAGCAACCATTCTTGATCAGATGGATGCAGTTCATAAAAATTCTTGTCCTCGATAGAATGACATTTAGACATGGGTGATTCCTTCTTCAGCTGCTCATGTTTCCCTCATATTTAACTCTTCCAGGAAAAGCGAGACATGCATTCAGTATCTAATAATATCACAGGAAAAGCGAGACATGCATTCAGTATCTAATATCAAAACCAGTTTTATGAACTGTAAACTATAATGTTGCATTAAAAGCAGATTGTGATTTAGTTATACAACTAACTAAGGGAGTTTTTCTGATTTGGGATGCCCTTGTTTCCGGTCGGAAATACGATTTCACTCGAAAATATAGAAGCACCGGAACTGATCTTAGGCTCAGTTTAAGCCGTACAAATATATATCAGAAGTAATTATAATTATAACAAATACATATCAGAAGTAATTATGATATTTGTATAATTTTATAATTCAATTATGAATTTGTATTATTGAAAACTGATATACCGGCAGGCTTGTTTGAACTTCTGGATAATAATATTTTGCTGTCACATCCGAGCTGCTACAGCATCATGCATAAATCACGAATTTGAAATACATCTCATAGTTCCTGTAATTGGTTCTCTCTGTCAACAACCTGGACTGTTTTGAACCGGGATTAATAAAAAAACTTAATGCACGCATAAAATTATTATTGCCCCCTTCTCCCCCCCCCCAAAAAAAAACCCTCTAGGTAGTCTTTAGTACATAAAGCCCGATTAAACACTCAATGCCTTCAGTAGAAATAATTTTAAAAAAATGCACGTGTTCCGTACTTTTTGTTCTCTAAACACTGCATTATTGCTGTTTGCATATATTTTCATCTTTGGTCTTTTCCTTCATAGATTTCTTTGTAGCGAGGATTGTATTATTTATCGTTCGAACTGTAAGACTTTGCTCAGTACTAGTATCAACTTCCATAATAAGCTTTATGAAGTTTTCAAACACACCATTAATTTTTTATAGATATTCATCTGTTAATTTTCGTGCAGGCACTTCAATACAGTCTCCGCCGTCCTCCAGGCCACGACTTTTCATTGGCTGCTGTAAGGATTGTAAAGGTAATTATTTCCAGAATAAACCCACGCAATGGGTCCTATGTCATAAATGAAGCAACAACCTGTGTTAGGGGTAGATTTTTAGCATAGAAACTCTATCGATTTCGAGGGCGAACAAACTCTCTCTTTATGAGGAGCAAAGAAATCTGCAACGATTGAAGAATTCTTTGCTCCTAATTGAAGAGACAGGTTGTTGTTTCACTTTTATGATTTATTTGAGGCGTGTTCCTCTTCTGTCTTGATGTATCGTATGGTATAATCTTAAAATCGCATAACAATAATTTTCTCTCTGCCCCCCTAAAAAAAATAGATTCGTCATTGTAAAGGGAAAAAAGCAATCATTTGTAATTTAAAAATAATTTTATGAACTATATTTGTTGAAATAAAGTATTGTTTGTTTTGAAATTTTCAAACCGGATCACAATGAATCCGAAATGATTAATCGGACTATGTGAAGTACTGCAGTTGTTTTGCAATATATATATATTTGAAGAGTAGCCTTTGAAAATCAATTTTTGGGTAAAATCCAATTGTGACATTTGCATAATAATTCTTTTATACAGGCTGATTCAAATTAATTGATTTGAGTACAGATCCCTTTATTTCGGAGGCCCAATGACGTACAAAGGCAAATAATGCATGAAATGCAAGGAGAACTATCTAACTTTCCTGCTGAAGTATTTTATGGAACTTTTAATTCCACGAAAACGGAAAAGTCGGTTATTGTATTCTTTTCATTCTCGCTCCAGCACATCTTTTGTTAAAATATGTGCAGCATAATACAGCAGGTTAAACACAGCCTCAGAGAAACAAGTCACACAATATCACATCCAGTTAAGCTACAAAGTTATATACGAAAGCTGACATTATCTCCAGAGCTTAAACTGAGTTTGCAAGAGTCATCAGACCCACTCAATGCAGCAGGGTTGAGAAAATACGATCAGCAATTTGATAACACTCTAAAACTGTTCGGATTTATTTTTTTAAGTGGTGTATATCCAGTTAAATCGCAGTTCGTAGGTGCATTCTCCCACGCATGTTTCCGATATGTAAGTGGTTGGTTAGCACGTCCAGATTGGGAGATTCGTGATATAAATCATGAAGAGAACATAATGGACTTTTCATGGCTCTTGCTTAGAAAAAGCTTAATGTTTCATACAGTGGTTTTCAAACTAAAATGAAACAGAAGGCAACTCATTATTACTTGGGTTTGGTCAACTAAGAAGAACTCTAAATGCTGAAGAATACAAAAAATTATCGTATCCGCTTGTTCGAGCTCTCGCTATGTGAGTGGCTTTCTCGTCCAGCTAGTAATCAGGGATTCGTAGTTCGAATTTTGGCGAAATCATATTTGATTTTGCATATTTCCTGTTTATTTATACAAGTGCAAATATCGAATATGCTTTAGATAAAAATAGCAGAAAGCATATGTCACCCTGACGTTTGGAGTAAAAGCTTCAAATGTTTAAAGACGAACGGGATAACAATAGATAATGTGAATTCGAATTGTTGCACTGGGGAGCGAATTGGACCCATTTTGTCTTTATAATGATGGGTTATTATTTTCAGAAAGATTAGGTTCTCAATTTCAGTTGCAGTTTCAGTGTTTATATTTGCAACGGCATCTTGCGTTGAATCACTACCACTTTGCATATTTTTAAAATATTGTATAATATAATACAGGGCGAATATTATAGCCCTGTATAATAGTTAAAGAGATTAAATAATGAAGCATCTGAAATGTGTGCATGTTTCTCGCATCGAGAAAAACGACGGTACCTAAAGCCAATTAAATTTTGAATAACGCAGTCCTCCACCCGAACATAGCCACCTGGAAGCCCGAATTTTGAATTTCGAATTTGCTTTATTATCTAGTTCATATCTCGTAAAACTTCTTTTTTTAATGGCTGGCACTAGCCATTTTAGGCTTTGGCCACTACTAAGGTCAGAAGCGGTAATCATTTCATAATGGAGGCACCTAGTAGGCGGCCACAATTACCTCCTATGAAAGGGCAAGCAACTTACTTTCCTGCCTTCTCCTGGATTCAAACCCGAGACCTTCGGTATAAGAGTCAGAGTCACTAACCCTTTTCCCAGCTGGGTGGCATATTTTGCAAACTTTTACCGAACTTTTGATTAAAGAACTCAACGATTTCAAAACGAGCAGTGGCAGCACTATATGGGAAAAAAAAAAAAAATTATCTCTAGCACACGAGACTGTTTATTGCAAATTCTAAAGATATGTTTTTTTTAAATATTTTGCGATTTTGCAGTTGAATCGAATTATGTGACGTAAGCGCCAAGAACATGATATTTAATCAATAAAGTACACAAAACGTTAATCATTAAAAGTAAAAAAAAAAAAAAAAAAAAAGGTTTTGTAAAGCCGTCTCAGTAAGACCACCGAACATTAATATGATGAACTGAGAAAAGACTGGGGGGGGGGAAATGTGTGCTAACACTTAGCGCTGCATCGGGAATTCCAAACGCATACTGCTATGCTGCTTTTACAATGTTGGTAATTTTGCTGTTGAACTGTATATGGCATAAGTGCTAAGAAAATGATGCTTAATAGTAAAGCTAAAAATACAAAGTGGTTTAGTAGGAGTGAATGTAACAGTAGACTGATAGACTGCGAGTTCAGCGAGAGGGTAAAAAAACCTCAACAAACCCTTTCGGGAGACCGTTAAAATCTGAAACCTGTCAGGTTTTTTTATTTACTTTATTTATCATTATTTTTTTACTTATAAAATGTTTGGGAAAAGGGATTTATTTTCTTAAATATTGATCTTAAAACTCAGTCTAGAAAGTTTTGAGAAATGAGGTATAGAATTATATGGAAACGAATTTTGCCCCAAGAGACTACAGTATTCATGATGTTTTAAGAGAGTTAAATCAAAAAGTTCCGAACCTTTAAATACAAACCTGCGAAGATTTTTGTAATTAAACAGTCACAGGATGCCAGCTACCAAGTGACGAGTACTATTTTATCAAATACGGAAGCTTTAATTAGTAAAACGAACAAATTACATTTTGTAGTCGCTCCTTTAGCTGAATGATGTAGAATTCCTGTAAGTAATAAGTGTTCATAAGCGATTACAGACTTGTAATTAAAAAATAATGAAGAAATGAGATATAATACTTAACACAAACAACCAAAGTTTCTTGTTGACTGGAGTTTCGTTAAAGTTTAGTCCAACTCTAATAAACCTTTCGCGTTATTTCTAACTCGTACAGTAAACGTAAATAAACAAAGTTGTAATTTTATGCATGGAAGT